AAAAAAGTATTTTTAATATTTATTAGTCTAATAATTAAATTATAAAGAAAAATAAAACTTCTTTAAAGCTTTTAGTAAATATCTTTATTATTTTAAATTATTATAATAAAATTAAAAAACTATCTTCTTTTTTCTTTTATTTATTAATATAGCTAGTAAAATAAAAATAAAGAAGTTATTTATTTTTAATAATAATAAAGATATTATTAATATTATTATTATTATAATTATTATTATTAATAATATTAAAATTAATTTTTAGAAAAGTTTAAAGTTAAATAAATATTATAAATAAAATAATAACTTTATTTATTAAATATTTAATTTTAAAAACTATTTTAAAAAATAAAAAATATAAAAATTTAAAAATATATATATACTTTATAATTAGATAAAATTATTTAAACTAATTAAAAAAAGTAAATAATATTAATATTATTTTTATTTTTTTATTATAGTAAATATTAGATCTTTATTTATTATTAAAAGTTTATTATTATAATATCTATTAATAATATTAAAAGAAAATTTAATATTAATTATATAGTTTTTTTAAAATAAAAAAGAATTTTAAAAACTTTTTTTTTAAAATTATAATTATATTTTAGAAAAACTAATTAGTAGTTAATAAGGTTTTTAACTTTATAATATAGCTAGCTTTATAGCTATTAAGTATTTAGCTAAATAAGTATTAATTAATTTTAAGATTTATAGATTATAGAATATAGCTTTTATCTTTTAGTTTATTAGGAGTTTTTATTATAGGGCTTACTTATAATAATAATTATAATAGTAATAGTAAGGGAAGTAGAATTAATATAGGTAGTAGTAAGAGAGGTAGTAGTAAGGAGGGAGGAATTAATATAGGTAGTAGTAAGGGAAATAGTAGTAAGGAGAGAGAAATTGATATAAGTAATAGTAAAAGGGGTAGTAGTAAGGAGGGTAGTTTAATAAGCTTTTTTTACTTAGATAAAAAATCTATTTTTAATAATAATATATTTATAATATTATTAAAGTTTTAAAAATATATTATTTTAATTAATAGAAAAAAGTTAAAATTAAATTATTTTAATTAATAAAAAAGAATTAAAATTAAACTATTTTAATTAATAAAAAAAAATTAAAATTAAGTTATTTTAATTAATAAAAAAAAATTAAAATTAAGCTATTTTAATTAATAAAAAAGAACTAAAACTAGACTATTTTAATTAATAAAAAAAAACTAAAAATAAGCTATTTTAATTAATAAAAATAAGTTAAAGATAAGCTATTTTAATTAATAAAAATAAATTAAAAAATTTAAATAAAAAAAATATTTTCTATTATATTTTATAATATAATTACTATACTAATAAAGCTTAAAATTTTCTAGATATTTATAATCCTAAAATAGTAGGTAGTAAGTATCTGTAGTCCTTAAATAGGTGGAGTATGTATGTGGCGAGGGATAAAAGATATATCGATTGGACCTATAAAAAGTTGCTAGGTGTTGGGAGGTATCTTTTCCTGTCTCAAAAAAATTTTTGACATGAGAAGTTCAGGGCCTTAGGTCTACGGGCGGTCACTCTTTCTAGCTTCAGATACATCCCATCTAGACATCGTATCCTATTTTCTGGACTCATGAGCTTACATCTTCGGCATCCTTGGCACCGAGGTGAAAGACTCGCTGGGAAAATGCGCAGCAAACCGCAAACCCGATACTAGGAGGCCCAGCTACGCCGAGCTTCCGCCCGGATCCGGGATCGAGGACAACTCCATCATCCGGGATTGTCAAGGCGTAGATCTGGGATCAAGGACAGCCTCGTTATCTGGGTTTGTCAAGGCTGAGACCAAGGCTTGTTTTATAAGCGCCCCTACAGTAGAGCAAACGGGGCCAGGAACCTCCTGTGAGCTATGGTCGTATTCTATGTAGCAGACAGTGGTCAGATTTTCCCTATAAAAGGTTCTGCTACATAAGGAGAGTTAACGGTAAATTCGAAGAAGAAACGGTGTGAAATGAAAGGGAGGACCGGAAACGAAGTGACATTGAGTGTGAGAAGCTCAATTGGGCCAGTTCAAATTCCAATCGACCCAGTCCACACAAGTGTCGTCATTTCAAACAATTAGTTTACCTCAGTAGGCTTCTTCTCAATTGTCAATTCTCATTTCTCAACTCTCCATCTCTCAACACGTGCCGGCTGATGAGATGACGCGGGGCATCCCCGTGACAAACAGTTGACACACCACTTCTAGAACCCAACATGGAACACACAACCCCAACATGTCACATCCGATGTTTGCGTAGCCCCCAAGGTTAGAGTGGTATTCCTGCATCTGTCGTTACCACATTCCCACGTTCTGAAGCATTAGACTTGCGCTTGGGCTGCGGCGTGCATCGTGCGGCACGAGGCAGAAGCAAGCGACAGGCAGCACTGTAAAACCCTTGCGCCCGAAGCTGTCATCCATTCTAGCGAAGCGAGGCAAAGGTCTGGTCGCTGCTGCCCCACTGCCGCCGCCATTGTCGTCATTGATCGCTCGCATTGATGCCACCCACCTTCTGACAGCGAACTGCCAACTGACCAGTGACCCTTCCAAAAACTCAACTCCCCCCAATTGATGCTACTTCGGTGTCGTATTCCTGCCAAATATCTTGGCATCTACTTTGTACACATGAGCATTTCCGAGGGTTCCCAGAGAACAAACAAACATTTAACCTTTCCCAACATCGCCTTCCTCAAACCGCCACGATACTTCGTATATTCGCCCATTGTCAACACGAATCCTCTCCCCATCCAGTCTATCGAAATTGATCCTGCCAACCTGGCCAATTTCTAGTCTTGACCAACAGAATTCTAGGCTCGGAGATTGCCTTACCGCTATTTGAAGACTTGACTCTTTTTTAATGGGTTCCTCGGCTACCTAAAAGAGACCACATCCAACCACTTCATTCTAATATCGCTCCTTCCTCCGGCGACCCCGGGAGGGGAATACACCAGACAAAAAAAGAAGGGAAAAAATAGAAAAACAATCAACAAACAACAAACCATTCACTTCCCACTTTTAAGGTGTCCGCCCTGTCTTATCGGTTTTCCATGAGGGTCCGGGCCGCTGTGCCCAACGCCTTACCCGCATCCAATTCGACAGCAGCCAGCGACATTCAGACTACGCCGCATCGCACAAGAAAGAGAAAACTCAGAAGGACCTGCCTCTGCCTCCCCTTCCCTTCCTTTGCCTCTACCTCTTCTTCTTCCTCTGCTTCCCGCCGCCTCTCGTCCTCTCATCAAACGCAGGGAAATCCAACGGCCACGGTTGCAATGGATCCGATACCATCCTCCTCCGCCGTCTCTGCCCCTCCTCCAGGCACGGGCACCACCTCCAATTTCTTCCACACCGACCCCGCAGCACCCACCATCAAGACGAGAATCCTTATCATATCAGACACCCACGGCATCAAACCAACCGAGCATTTCCCCGCGCAAACCGAAACCACCTCGTCGCCGTGCACGCTCTACGGCCACACATCCTCGCGCTCGGCATTCCACTATCCCCTCCCCGCCGCTGATGTCGTCATCCACTGCGGCGATCTCACGAAACGGTCGTCGGCCGACGAGTACCGCTCGACGATATCCATGCTGCGCCAGATCGATGCGCCCGTCAAGATCGCCATAGCGGGGAACCACGACCTGTCGCTGCACCAGGAATACATCAAGGAGAACATCGACGACGTGCGCAAGGACCAGCCCAGCCTCGTCTGGCTTGCCCGCCACGTCGCCTCGCACGCGGAAGCGAAGAGCATCGTCGCCGAGAACAAGGGCATCACGTATCTCGAGGAGGGCGCGCAGGAGATCGAGCTGCCCAATGGCGCCAAGCTTCGGCTTTATACGAGTCCCTGGACACCCTCGTATGGCTCCTGGGCCTTCCAGTATGACGGCGGCCATCCTTTCAATATACCCCCAGGCGTAGACTTGGCCGTCACGCATGGCCCTCCGCTGGGCGTCCTCGACTACGCTACGAGCGGCGACTACGCAGGTTGTCCCATCCTCTTCTCGTCCATTCGAAAGGCGCGTCCACGTGTCCATTGCTTCGGGCACATCCACGAGGCGTGGGGAGCGTACTACGGCCATTGGGCTGCGGAGACCACGCCCAGCTCACAAGCGGGTGCCTCCGGGACCGAGGGTTTCGCCGGCAGTACTACGTGCGGTACGAGCGCGACGTATACGAATTCATACCACGATAATTTCTCCGACTCGGAGTCGGACGCCGAGAGACCGCCGCCGCAGACCCTAGGATCGTTCGACGCTGAACGCTCGCGCACAATAGAAAACGTCAGTTCGATACAGCTCCACCGACATGACTCCGCGGAGGAGATTGCGAAGAAGAAGGAGAAGTACGCCAAGTTCTCTTCCGAGGGATGCTATCCGCTCGATATTACGCCGGAGGGTGATACGTTCGTGGAGCGGGGGAAGCAGACTTTGTTTCTTAATGCGGCGATATTGGATCGGAGATACAAGATTGCGCATTTCCCTTGGCTGGTGGAAATTGACCTGCCCAAGGCGTAAAGATGGAGCCGGATGGGGGTGAAGAACAGTATTCATAGGAGGGAAAGCCAGGAGAGAGCAGAAGCCCATATTGTGGGAGGGTACGATTAAGTGTTATGAAGAAAAGTTAATGCTCATGTAGACTTATTCCGTCGGTTTGTTTGGTTTCCACAACTCGCAACGACCATAGCATCACTTAAGGCATCATCAATATCCAAGGTTATTTTCAAAGCACAGACGAGAGAAAGATATTCTCAGAAAGTTTTTCTTCCGGGATTCCACTGGCGCTTTCTCGGAAGCACCAGCGGAACCTCGAAGGGCTATTAATTACTAAAGTTGTGTGAATGAAGCTTTTTCATCGGTCCCATACATCGAATCGTATCCATACATTAAATAACACGTTTTGTTACCCACATCCCATTAAGTGTAATCAACAACTCCGGCAACAACTTCAAAATCACCCGCTACCACGGCAGTCCCAATTTAGAGGGCGAGAAGGGCAGCAAGGAAAGCAACACCGCCGAACGCAGCGTTGACAACAGCTCCGCTGGTTCCAGAGCCATTGCCGTTGTCGTCGCCCGAACCCGAACCAGTCTCCTCAGAGCCACCCGAGGACTTGGAAGGAGTGGGCCTTCCAGAGCCACCGGTACCAGTAGCAGTAGAGTTGCTAGCACCACCAGTAGGCGCAGCGGAATCGCTAGCAGTGGCAGAAGCCTCGCCGCTCTCGGTGGCAGAGGCGGTAGCATCATCGGTGGCGGAGGCGGCCTCGGAGGAAGAAGCGGGGGGAGCCTCGGAGGAGGCACCGCCGGCACCGGCGCAGAGGACGTTGGCGGCCTGGGCGGCCTTGGCGAGGTCGGCGGGGTCGGTGCAGGAGGTGGTGAGGCAGGTGACGAGGGTGGGGTTGGAGGCGAGCTTGGCGAGGTTCTCGGTGGTGCAGGCGCAGGCGGTGTCTTCGACCGTGCAGCCGATGGCGGTGATTCCGTCGACGACGCACTTAGCCTGGGAGTGTTGAAGAGAGTATGTTAGCGGGGGAACGTGTTAAAGATAGCTTCTGGGGGGAGACGACGTGATGGTGCGTCGTTCAGAGATTGGGGGATTTGGGACGTACAGCGCAGTCGGGGACGGCATCGCCGAAGGGGTTCTGGGCGGCGACAAGGCCGGCGAGAAGGGCGAGGGTGGCAGCAGAGTACTTCATTTTGGCAGTTGTGATGTGAGAGACGAAAGGTCGTTGGAAGAGGTCGTTGGGGTTGGAGCTGGAGAGTGGATTGAGACGCGTCGGACCGGAAAATAGGCAGTTGAGACAAGCTTAACGAGAGATAAAGAAGAAAAAAGAAAAAGGGAACCAAGACTGGGGCTGCAGGTGGGAGAGAAAGGGGGGTTCTTGTACTCTTTCTTCGACTGTCACTGCTCGGTTGGTTCCATTGGTTTTTTTGTTGCTTTAATTTGCTCGTTTCCACAAACTCGCCTCACTCCCTGTCTGTTGCAAAGAGCAGACCGGGACACTGGTCTCGTTTGCTTGTCCCACACCCACATTGTCATTCCGCATTCCCGCCCCCGGATTCGTTCCCAGTTTGTGGTTGCCATAGCACAGGCGCGCCACTTTTCCACCCCCCTTTTTCCCGGTCTGTGCCTGTCCCGGCTTTCGCCCACACCCCCAGCCAGCCCACCCAGCCAGCCAGCTGGATGATTGTCTGGGTTTACGCAGCTCAGGATTAGATTATATGAACCTTTCTCCACCATGCTGATCCGAATTGATTTTGTGATCCTCCACACGCCATGGCCTGTTGTTGGCCCCTCTCTTGTCAAATCCACCGAGACATCTCCCCAGGTTTGAGAGGCTCGTTTCCTCGCCGACTTCAGAACTCAGGTCTCTGAACTATCACCATTCTGTCGCGTCAGGAGGGTGAGGAAAGCTTAAAATTGACCATCCACACTATTTCGGCTTGACATGTTTCTCAACCAACCCAACAGGGCCACCGCGCACCATTCAATCTTGTCAGGGACCAGGGGTTCTTTTGCGCTAAACTGAGAAGGAAGTTGACGTGGGAAGTACACAGTACGGATTAGTGATCTGCAATTTCAATGGGTACTTGGACCTTTTCAGTGCTGGATTCCAATCTCTGCGTCGACCGACAACGACGACTTCACGGCTGATTTCGGATCGTGGCTCGGAAGTATCCACTTATGGATGCTTCGTTCATGTCCGATGCGTGCAGGATACGAAACGGAGGCCTTCCCGACAGATCAACTCAATCTTGGGTCGAGGAGAAAGGGCATCTTGTTCGATGGCAAGATCAATATTTCGAGGCAATGTCGTAGTCATAAACGAGATCAAGACAGAAACTTGGTTCAATTAACTGAGCATTAATATGATTTACTTCGTTGAGGTCTGTTCACAGCAGCACCTGCAGCTAATTCCCTCTAGTGGATGTCTACGAAGTACCTGTGTACATTCTGCAACATTCGAATCCCACAGAATCCTGCATCAACTCGACGACACGACAGGGGGCCCTCATCTGTCCTGGCCCACCAAAGGAGCATGCATTGAAGAGTTTCATCATGTTCCCTTTGGAGTTTTCCTGGACTCATGATGTTGGCGCCCACTCAAATGAAACCAGCAACGCTCAGCAACGGACGAAAGCTGAGCAGTTGATTGCGTACGCATCCTTGGCCGCCTATTTTCTTCTTGAACTTCAGGGGCTGCTTCTCATCCAGTCGATGGGCTGTGTTCAATGTTTTGGCGGGCCATCTGGCCAGGGTGCAGGGAATGGATGTAAACTACGAAGTAAAATGCGCCAATTGAAGCGCAGAGTCGACCAAACAGGCCATTTAGTTGTCTATCCACGACAATTTCGGTAACGTGTGAAGGTAATGTGCTACTGTAGGACTGGGCAAACCAACGTCCGTGGCCTCACCTTCATCTCCCTCCTTGTAGTGTTCACGTTTTGCAACATGTCCTCCAATGCCCCACAAGGCGTCGGCTTCCTCTTCTTCTATCATGAGAGAGCATGGCATAATCCAGAAATACCACGTAGTTTTACGAGGGCAACGACGCATCTTCTCGCCGATACCTCATTCCTGCTCTACGAAGCGCAAGTAGGTCAGAAGAGATGTCCAACACCAATCAAGCTTTCCTTCTTGCTTCACGCCTATCAATAGTACGCATACAATTAGACTAGCTCGCCTGCAATCTCCACAGTGAGCTAGTGTCCAGAGGAGAACAAATCACAACCAAGGCAGAACATTAACAGCGACCAAAAAGATTTGTCTTGATTGGAAGGAATGCAAGAGGAGCACCAACATCTTTGAAACCACAATTCAGATCAGGAACTGCCAACAGCTCTTGGACTGGGATAGAACTTCCAACCAGTAGTCCCCAGAGGCTCTAGTTCATAGAGGTCGAGGAAGAAAACATGAAGTACGAAGTACAACGAGGTTGGAATACTAGAGTGCCAGTGACATGATTGATGCTAAATCTGCAATGCATTGCTTACCTTCCACTACGGACAGGACAGGCTCCGCCGACGTCTTGATCGGTTGCAGTGAGTACCTTCGTACACATACAGCTCGATGAAGAGCTCAGTCGATGGCCGCGCCCCAGCAGCATCCTGCCCTCAGACACAAGGATTCTCCAAGTCGAGGCCCGAAAAAACAAAGTCGGCCGCCGAGGCACCCAGCATCAGGGATAACCGGGAAAGTGATTCCAAGGCAGAGAGTCCCAACGCCCAGAATCCAATACCCAACTGCGCAACAGTTCAGACAAGGTTCGGGGATTCCACTCCAATTGTCTCCAGCGTAATATTACCTCGTAATCAATAAAACGTTCAACTTACTGGTCTGGCCATCACACCAACCCTGACCTGGTCCCTCCGTATACTTGGACGGAGTATGCAACCTCTGCCGAAACTGTCCCGCTCCAGCCTCACGGAACTGCATGCCGACCGAATTGCCAACCCGCCACCGCATATGGAGGCCTCGAGTTTATCCCAAAAACCTCGTATTCACAACCGTTCCACGTCATGGCCAGCTCTTGCACGACTAGAAAGGAAGGGCCTGCATTTCTTGAACCTGATCGCCAGGGGTTGTCCTCGTCTGTACTTGTAGTCCAACAACCCGGGCAGCTGAGAGCTCTCTTTCAATCCTTGATCAACAACAGGATAGGACCCTGAAGAAGCACCAGCTAAGATTACCCTGGGGTCGAGACTGTACACTTCGTATTGCAGACATCAGGTCTCATGAATTTAGAACCTGGAATGATCCCTGTTTGATTGGGTTCACTGGGTCCACTAAAGCTTCGGTCTCGCCCTGTGACAGTCCAAGTAAACTACTTTTAGCATGGAAGGTCGAGATGGGCAGGATCAAATGTTTGAGGTAACTCGAACGTGTATTCGTAGTTTACGCACTGTAAATGGTAATGTACACAAGTACCTGTATGTACGTACCTATGTCCATGAGAAGCACACGTAATCTCGGGAGTTGGGCCCAGAGATCCACCATCCCCCTGTCCCACGCACCCGGGGTACCTCTGCCCGCCCCTGTTCAGTTGTCCTGTCCATTCACCTTGCCCTCGAATGTCGTCTGGCGTCTGCCAAGTCACATCGGCGATCACTGTCCAAGACCCGGACTACTTCGTACTTCGTACATATTCCTTTCCACCCCTGGCATACTAATTGCAAGCCGACTCACCAATCGCCTAACCTCGTGCTTGGAAGTCAGGACAAAGGACGAAGTATTGAGGTGTAGTAGTCACTGGATTATGATCAAAAGACGGAGATGGAGAGGGAGGGAGAGATTGAGGGCACCTTGATCCTAACTACAATTCGCCACATGAGTAAAGTAAAGAACAGCTTCAGTCTACTCGGGATAGTATTTGGTGAAAACACGAATCAGAGCTCAGATACCTGATTGTCTCAGGAAAAACCTGGCGAGTCATAGCTCCCCAAGAGAGACGAAGTACTCAGTACTGTGGCGAGACAGTTGATGTCGGTCCAAAAATCAACTTAGCCTTACAAAGGTATGAAGGACCGCATGACGAGTGGCATTCAAACTAATAGACAGAGTTTCATCTTGCAAAGTACCCTCAGTATTTACTTCATAATAGTAATCGTGTCACGCTTTAAATGAATTTTGGTTGTATTCTAGTGTTACGGACCGGCCTGGGATCCGTCAACCCCAGCCGAGCCACAGCTCCAAGACCGGCCCGGGGTGGGGTTAGTCGCCGCTGCCGCCGACGAAAAATTGATTGGCGGTGCCCACTCCGTGCCCGATCCGAAGCCGGTCTCTGAGAGCAAAGAAGAGGAACATTGAAAAAAGATTCCCTTATGCGCCGTAGAAAACATCAAATTCAGTTAGATATATAGCGATGGGACCGGTCACCCACAAACCTTCCTAAATTATGATCCTTTTTGTAATTCTTCCCTCAGGTCTTGGACAGAGTCTCCGGAAGTACTCGTGTGGTTGATACACCGCAGACTGGTGAAAGACATGAGACGAACAGTAATGAGGGATGGTCTCAGCTCTAAGCAAACACATAATAACTCACTTCCCTCATCCTCCATCAATCGTGACAAACGCAGCTAGGAAACTTCAAATCCTGCAGGGTTAAAGACATTACCATTAAAACATTGAGCACCAAATAGCCCATCCAATCTGAATCAAATCAAAAGAAGCCACCCCACCAAAAAATCCCAATCCCAATACCCAACCTCGACGTGTACGCAAAACGTGGAAATCTCATTATGTCCCCATCCCCCCCCCCACACCCGCGCCCAAACAGAACCCTCGTTTCCTAACAGCACTTTCACGACCCCCTAAGATGCATCTCAGACACCCGCCTCTCAAACATCCTCCGACTCCTCGTCATCTCGAAAATCCCCATCGGTCGCCTCCCCAGCGGCCCAACATCCCCCGCCAAGCCGTCCGCCTCATCGCCCATTAGACCGGCCAGAAGCTGCGGGTCCCGGACCATCGGAATCGTGATCTCCGCGCCGTTGTAATATCCCACCGGTCCCGTGCGGAAGGCATATATTGATTGTTGTCCCCGCGGGTCGGGCGGGCTGTTATTCTCCGTTCCTCTTTCCTGGGCATCTGTGTTTTCCTGTTCGGTGGTCCCATCACTGGGCTCGTTTTGGTGGCTGCTGCTCTCTTGTTGCTGGTCCACACCTGGTGCTTGTGCGAGTAATTCGCGGATGAGTCCAGTGGTCTGCGGCGGGGGCGCATTCGTGTTCCGACGCTCGAATTTTTGCTTCAGGATCTTTGTTGGTGCCATGTATAAAAAGTCATCGTCCGATTCTTCTTCTTCAGTCTTCTCGCAAAGGCCGAGGCCTCGGCTGTTGTAATTCTTATACCAGTTCTCCAATGTAGACTCTAAAGGGCTTCCAGGTACGAGAGGTACCTCCTCCGAGTCTGAAGTTGCGCATGACCGCGGCGTTCCAGGGAGAGAAGAATCGGCAGCGCAGTCAATTTCACACTCGGTATCCGAGGTTTGAGCATGGTCCATCACTGGCGTAGAAAGAAACTCCCAGCCCTCTCCTTCGTCAACTGGTCCCGTTATTGCCTTGGCAGACGGGTTTCGTGAGCCGGAGGATAACCCCTGAGAAGAAGATGGGCAGTCCTGGCATAGGAGTGGCGGACTGGGCAGGGACGGTGACGCTCTCTTCGTCATCCATGCTCGATTGTATTTCCCTGAATAACAGATATCACCAGGAGTCCCCGGGTTTAGTAGCCTCCGGCTTATTTTCGAACACGATTCGAGGTCGTCACACGTCGGCGAACCGATAATGCTATTTCCCGGAGTAGGAACCACCTCATCCATTCCAGGCACATTAGAACACAGCGGCTCGTATCCGCGCTCCTCCCGCACCAAGACTGCCGACAAGCTGCACTTCAACTCCATCAACAGAGACACGGTATGCGGAGACTGAGGCAAGGCCAAGAAATCCGACGGCGCATGATCAATAGACCGGGCTGCAGCCACTTCAGCCCCTCGAGCCAAGGTTGGCCTCTGAACCTCTGGGCAAAACCTGATTCCGGGTGCTTTTGGGACCACCAGCGTGGCATTAACCATCAACTCGGGCGCCGTGATAGTGATGGAAGGGGGTCCCCGAGTGATAGCGGTCTCAACGGCTCGTCTCGAGGGATAAGTTAAGAGAAGTGTAGGAGCTCCGTTCCCTCCGGAATGCATGTGGTCATCGCGGTCATCCTGGCGGGGCTGGGGCGATATCCGTCGTAGCACAAGCTCACCACAAGGCCTGTCGAACTCCGAATCGTGCTTCCAAGGAGGCGTCATTTTGAACCAATTCCCCACCTTTTGTGACACGGCAGCGTTGCTCTATTGGGAGATCCGGGGTGACAAGAGGTAGCTGGTGATCTTGCGGACTTCTCCCAAGTCCGACTTACCAGAGTGGGGGTGAGCGAGTGAGCGACGAAGTTGATCTCGCCACAGACGAAATTCTATTCCGAGGTTGGTCGAACATGGGCAAATAATCTATAATAATTGCATTGACGCCAAAGAGTTATTCGATCTGATATTCTGATGGTTGATGATGAGCACCGAGTTGGGCAGAAGCGGGCAGAGAACGGAACCCTCATCCGCAGCAGGAGAAGGGATGCAGGTCTCAATAAATGTTTCTTCGACCACCCTCATCCATCTCCTTGCCCCTTCCCTCCAAATACCAGAGTGGCCATGTCAGACACTGAGGCGATCATTCCATTTGATTCAGAGCAGAGGACCGAGATACCATTTGGCCACGTCTTTTTCTCTCCATAAGCTTCAACCCCCACGAGACCACCCAACCCCAGATGGCCAGGACTTCCCTGTCCTTGTTAATAGTTTAATGCTACCCTCGGGCTGGACGGAGGCGACCTGGAAGCCCATCTTTATCACGATAAAAAGAACAAGGCCTTGACGGACTCGTACACCGGTCTTTCCTAAAATGATGATCCGACGCCCTGCGAGAGACAGCAAAAAGCAAAGCATTTCCGGATCGATACAACTCGCATCCGCGGATATTGCTGAGTTCATGGTTCATGTACGAAGTAAGCATCTGGATCGATCCAAGTAATTCGCCTTCCAGGATGGGGTTTCAACCTGAAATACCCTCTGTGAAGAATACCAAAGTGGTAGAAACCCGACTTGAGAAAAAGCAAGTACTCTCACCGCTTCCACCCTCCTCTTCGCGGCTTTCGAAGAAGCTTCCCCGCAGCTTGAACCTAGTCAACCTTGTCAAGAATCACTGAGTGGTCTCCGTTTCTGTTCTTTTGCAGCCAGACTTGGTGTGATGTTACAGGTTAATATGTGGATATCACAAAATAAGTGTAGGGATTTAATGTAATATCTGAACTCCATCGTGGAACACGGAGCGGTTGATCGCTGCCTCATTGAGAATAAGCTCATCCCCTATCAAAGCGATGAAGCGCGCCACCACAGGTTACATGGATAACTAGGTCTTCATTAAGCTGGTCGGCGCGCCACCTGCCTCTATTAAGGAGCGAAGGGGGCTGGTATATTCATCGTCGGTGTTCCTAGAGATGTGGAAGTAGCCCGGAAATGCATCCGCATTGCTCTCTGCATGAACAAAGCATGAACTATAATAGGAAGTGATATGAAGCCACCTGTCGCGCATCGCGGTGGGTCCTGGCATTTACAGTCGGAAGACACATCTCTTGGCAGGGGGGCCATCCAAGATTAAGTTGCAAGATACCGCGCCCAAGTTTCCGTAGGGCTGAGCGGATAGAGAGCTCGTGCCAAGGGCACTATCGCCAGAATCTTCCCCGAGCATCACTGGTATCTCCCTCCACGGAGGAAAAGTGCTCATGCGTACTAATGCCGCTGTGCTCACCATGTTACCCACTGATATACTGCTTCCTCTATCTGTCGATCCTGGAGCTTGAGCAGGCAATGGCGAAAGTGTTTATCGATTCTTCGGGGCTTCTTTCCCCCGTGTCGTTACTAGGATCATGCCAAACACCCGCTTGAGAATTCAAGCACACTTGCTGGGATTGGCCAGGCCAAGCATGAAGCTAGCAGAACCCCGTCGGCATTGCATCAGCCTAGCTCCCGCATCTCAGGCTAAGACCGGGCGTGCGCGCGGCCCTCACAATCGTGCATGCTAGTTGGACCTGGTTTGAACACTTCGACTCATGGGTCCGAGCAAGAACATCTGTGTTCGAGTGCCACGAGTTCTTCCCGTCCTTGCTTCCCGCATGGGAATAATGAGCGAGAATAGGCTCAGCATCACACCCTCTTTTTAAATACCCCATTCTAACTCAAGCTGGACACAACGAACTGCGGGAGCTGCGGGGGTAGATATCAAGACTTCTTCATGTTATTGCTTTTCACTTTTTGCACATGACCAGGTTTAGAAGAAGGAGGCGATATGCGGTATGAGTTGACTTAACCTGTTACGAAGGCGTCATCAATATTTCAAGGGTTCGAAGATGGAGTGAACATGCAGGTCGCCTCTTATGGTAAGGCGTTGAAGCTCTTTATCAAGCAAGTCGATAGATTAACATCCTCTTCAGCCATCGGGTTAGAGACGAGAATCACACTCGAGACGTACAATAAGAATCTTGAACATAATCTCTAGAAATTAGGGGCACAAGGGGAGGAAACAAAAGTAAATAAAGGAAATAGAAAAAAGTCGAAGGGGGCAAAAAGCTCGCTCGGGGTTCGCTCCCAGGATCGAATCCTGGTTTGCTTGCCGCGAGCTACGAAAATTTGCAATTTTCTAACCTTCTGAGTGCTCCAATGACCACTTGGCCACTGGTCGTGGTCTTACCACTTGAGCTGCTCGGTTGGAAGTTCTTGCCGTGGACTCGTATATAAAGCATATATATCCAGGGCCGAGTGTGATGGGGAAGGTGCGGAAGACGAGGAAGGCGAGGAAGGCGCTCTTTTCCCAGGTTGGTTTTTCGTGGTCGCGGAACTTAGTATATCGTGAATGAAGAACCCCAAGGGCCAACTTTGTCAATGGGATGGAAGGGTTTGGATGCCCTATCCACCTCGTCAGATCATCCGATTCTCTTCTTTTTGGATTCTATGCCTCGAATCTCTCCCAACCGTACAGATATATATGATCCCCCGATCAAAACTAATGAGATCAGTCGAAAACTTCCTCGGAATACGCCCTATCGCCTGGCCCAGTATAAAACTTGCGATCCCCCTAATATGGTTCTCCCAAAACTACTACTACTGCTACTTATCCCCACCCCCACCACCAAACTTATCATGAATGGCCTTAATCTGCTCCTCCATCGTCATCCTCTGCAGATGACTGATATGCGCCTGGCTCTTCCCCTCCGGATTCCCATCGAAGCTATGAATAGCCGCCTTCTTGCGCCGCGCCTGCTCCTCTTCCGAGATGGGCTCGCCCGTGACCCCGTCGAACACGTCCGTCCGCTGACTCGCCAATCGCTTGAGGTTGTGTGCTACATCGACCTGCGAGAGATCCGTTATGAGGTGGCGAGCTTCGGCCTTGGCCTTTTGTTCCTTCCACCTCGGGTCGAGGAGTTCAACTGTTCGTGGGGTTAGCAAACAAGTTTCATTTCATGGTACATTGTTGGGTTGGGTTGGGTTGGGTTTGGGGGGGGGGGGAAAACTAACTTCTCATGTGTTCCTCCATCTCATTCAGCGGAATCATCTGCTTGCAGTTAGGACACAATGCTGACGGCCCGCCGGCTTTGGCGGCACCGCGTTGCGCTGCCCTCGGCACGTAGTGCTCCTTGATCTTCATCGGGGCGCCACCCACCGCGCTCGCCTGCGCCTGCTGTGCGCGCTCGCGAGCTTCCGCCCTCTCCCGTATCCTCCTCTCTTCCTCGTCCTCTTCGGTCACACGGCGACCGCCGACTGGAGGAACTGGTAGAGACGATACTGTAGGTGGTGTTGGTGTAGAGACCGGCATGGCGCTGGGGTATGCGGCCGGACCGGCGGGGTAGTGTGGGATTTGCGGAGCGGGAGATGGAACGTGGTGAGGAGCGTAGCCCGTATGCACGGGGAGAGGGAAGGGTTGGGGCATCGCAGCGGGAGTAGTGACTGGGATTTCTTCATCTGTCGGCATCGCCTCTTCGATGCGCATACTAGGCGCGATGGATCGCTTATTCTTATCCTCGAGAGACGCGTACTGAAGGTCCGAGAGTGTTGTCGGGGGAGGTAAGTTCGCCGTGGAATCTGATTGCGTAAAAGTAATCGTCTCGACAACCACAAAGTCGTTCCAATCTATCCTTTCAAACTTGCGCTTCATCTCCGCCTCTTCCTCCTCCTTCTTCGCCTTCTCCGCCTGCTCGTACTTTGCATACTCTGCCCTTTGCCTCGCCCTCTCAAGAACGTGATACTTATTCTCAACATTCTTCTTCAGCTCGGCAACGCGCTCGTCCTTTACCTTGCCCCCTTCACCCGCCAGCCCGTGGGCCCGAATCAACGTCGTATACTGGTCGACCAAATGCTGGAAGAAATTGTGAAACGTATGACTCGGGATCAAAAACTGGAACTGCGCGTTCCCCGCCTCGCGCTGCGCCAACGTCGTCATCCACTGTCTCCCATTTCTCGCGACGAACATGGCCGTCAATCGAATCACGTCTAGATCCTTCTGGTTTAGTCTGGGCATCCGAGCCGAAAACTCAAAATCCGGCGGTTTCGGAGGTCCGTTGGGTTTCTTCTCCACGGCCGCTGCCGCTCCCTCGCCCGCGCGACCCGCGGCGATGGCAGTGCCGCGTCCGGCCCGGATCTCGTCGAGCCGCCACTGGTAGAAGGCGTGGTAGGCATCCTGGGGGTTGAGGAAGCTGAACTTGGGGTTCTGTTCTTCCTTTTCTCGTATGCGGTCTTCGAATACGGGGCCGTTTCGCGCTACGTAGCCGGCTGTCTTTTCGAGGACGTTGCGGATTTCGCGGGGAGGGAGGACGACGCCGGAGGGAGGCTTGAATTCATCGAGGGCGGCGGTGGGGTCGCCGTTTGCCACTGCGGCAGCCATTGGGGGGATTCGGTCGGGTTACTCTCTTGAAGAAGGTCGGAGATGATGAAACGGCCGTTGCGTGTGGGAATTGGCGTGGGTGAAGACCGGAGGGCTGTCGTCGCGACTTGGTGATAAAATTCGTGTCGAGGCTGAAGACGAGGCAGGAAAATCAGGTTGCAACCAGGCAGAGCTCAAAAGTTACTGGTACAAATGAAGTTGAGCTGCAGGGGTGCTAGTTTATCACGTGACCAAAAATCTTCAACCTCGACCTTCGTCCACACCGGGCAGTGAAGATGATGGATAAATCTTCCCTTTTTTTTTTTTTTTTTTTTTTTTTTTTTTTTCTCGTAGAGAAGCCATTCAATTTCCGGCGGGCTTACTTCGCCTGCCGCAAGACATCGCCCGTCCCAGCAGCTACGTCAAAAACAGGTGAAGCTCGGGGTAGCATGCTCCCAGCTCGTCACCATTGAAAAAGATTAGTCCCGATCCTCCTTCGGAGTACTTCGTAGCTGGTGGTGTATGCAACATCGGCAATGGCTTGTGTATACTTCCTCGTACTCAACAAGTCTGCCTCGCGCCACTGTCAGGGGAATAGTCAGTCATTGTCGTAGAATAACGACATCTCCTCGTAGTCGCCCACTCCCTCGAGGTTTGTCACCTATCGGGTATCAACAGTTACTTCAACGTCTTAGACAGGAGAGGAACCTAGGTAGACGTGGTTCCTAGGCGTTGAGCAGGCCCTCGCCCGGAATGTCGCGCGCTCGTCCGCCCTTCTTGAGGAGATGGGTCATCAACCGGAACCACCAGATATGCCACAAGATTCGGGAAGCGGGACCTGGCCTCTTCAACTCTAGCCTCTTTAGCTCAAGGTCGAAAAAAAAAAAAAAAAAAAAAAAAAAAAAAAAAACATGTGAAGGTTTCCATGCAGGGAGATTCGAATGATATTGGGCGGGTGTAAGTGGTAAACGTGGCGAGACAAGTACCTGTACTTGTTGGTACAGTCCATCCTTGACATGTGACAACACTTGGTGACAAGTTGGACTGCCCGGAATTGGAAGCGATCTGGACCTTACCTAAGAAACGTCTCCAACGTGTTCTGCGCCCCCTTCGAAGATTGGCGCGAAAAAGGCCACTCCTATTCGACTCGTTTGACGTTACGTAGGCTGCTGCGTTTCGACTTCATCTGTTCATTCCTTTGTTCGCCCTCTTTTTAATCTTCGACTGCCTTCTTCCTTTCTAGCCTGTCATTTTCTCACCAAGTGACTACTACTACTACTACTTACCTTCTAATACTTTTTGCAAACGATTTCGCGACTCTTTCTTCCATCTTCTCGTATCATCAGCCGATTGCCGAACCCACCTATCCAGAAATCCGAGACTTCCACTTCCGAGGCCACGTACCCCATCTTGTACGATTTCGATCCGCCCACCAGCGCCGCAAGACCCTGATTATCGAGAATTTTTTGATAATTTTCTTCCTTTTTATCGACGACGATTTCGATCGAGTGAGCCGCGTAGTCCTTCGTGACGAGCCTACGAAATACTCCGCGAGACCGATTAATTACCTCGTCACGACCGAAGGATCCCGCCTTCGATTCCCGATCCAAGAAAGGCTGCTAGCACCCATCAGCCAAAGGATTTATCCAAAGAACGCGCGCAAAGAAATTCCAAGCGACATTCATTCGTGGCGCTTTGGTTGATTTGCTACGCAAATCTCCCCTGCGCAACTCGCTCCCCATCAGATCAGGGGCTTCCCCACTCGAGTTTTCGAACGCGACCCCAAATTTACCAGATTTCACAAAAATGGCGGTGACTTCGATACAGGACAGGACGTCCGAATTCAAGGCGGTCCTCGCGCAGGCGCAAAAGCGACAAGCGTCCGGCAAGGTCGGCGCGCAGAGGAGATCTCTCCTGACCGACTCCCAGAAGGCGGCGGCTAATGGCACGGCGACTCCGAGGAGATCGGAGTTTGCGAGGAGGGCGGCGGAGATTGGGAGGGGGATTGCTGCCACCATGGGAAAGCTGGAGAAGCTCGCGCAGTGTAGGTTCCACCGCAACTTGAAACATGTCATGACATATAATGGGGGGTGTGTTCGTTTGAAATTCTAACAAAACCGCAGTGGCTAAGCGAAGGACCTTGTTCGACGACAGGCCCGTCGAAGTAAACGAGCTCACATACATTATCAAGCAAGATCTCGCGTCCCTCAACAAGCAGATTTCCGGCCTCCAGGAAATCACCAGACACCAGCAATCCAAGGGCAACCAGGAAGGCGAGCACAACAAGAACGTCGTGTTCCTACTGCAGGAGAAGCTCACCGACGTATCGGTCAACTTCAAAGATGTACTCGAGGCGCGAACCAAGAACGTCCAGGCGTCGAGGTCTCGGACAGAAAACTTTATCTCCTCAGTCTCTCAGCACGCGCAGCCATCCCTCCAGCAGCAATCCGCCTCGCCGCTATACGGAACCCCTAAAACCGGCACGCCGGCACCCGGTATTCTACCACCGAGCCAAAGTGCGGGCAGCGCTGATTTGCTATCGCTAGAGCCCGTGAGCGACAGGCAGCTTCTCATCATGGAGGAAGGGGAGCAGCAGAACGCGTACATACAGCAGCGAGGCCAGGCGATCGAGGCGATCGAAAAGACGATTAGCGAGCTGGGCAGCATCTTCGGACAGCTGGCGACGATGGTGCAGGAGCAGGGTGAGATGGTGCAGAGGATCGACGCAAATACGGAGGATGTGGTGGATAATGTCGAGGGGGCGCAGAGGGAGCTGCTGAAGTATTGGTCGAGGGTATCTGGGAATAGGTGGCTTGTTGCCAAGATGTTTGGCGTTTTGATGATTTTCTTCTTGTGAGTGTTGAGTCTCTTACTATTATCTTTTTCTCCGGGACGTTTGCTAACATTACCTTTTAGACTCTGGGTATTGATTGCTGGTTAAGGCGGCGTACGAGGTTTTGGATCCCTCGTGAATGAATCAAGATAGCACCACCTCACTAGAGAGGAGGAACCTACTTGCCCGAGGAATTAAACAGCAAGGACAGGCACGATAGAGAAAGAGAAAGAAGGGCATACATCACAGTATTTGTTATAATAGCCACAACGGCAGGGCATTTTTCTTCTTATTTTCGTATTTTCTTTCTTTTTTTTTTTTTTTCTTTTTTTTTTCGTTGTACATTATTACAGAGCAAGGGGTTGGTCAGTAAGAGGTTCATTCATAGAATCGAAATCTGATGCCATAGCCGAGCAGGCGATGCTATGGATATGCGTTCATGTTCCTTTGTCTGATGGACACTCGGAGTATTGATTGATTCTGCCATGTGTATGTGCCCCTGGAGTTCCTTCGAGAACGACAATTGAGCTCTGGGCCGATTCGAAAGTGAATTCCAATCCTTCGGATTCTCACGCCTTCTGCCTCTAGCACAAGCCGGGGAAACGGTCGTCAGAACATGTGTTAAAACCAGCCAAGCATACGTACTAAAGGCTCTTCAAGTAGGTGTAGTTTAGTATTGCCCAGGCCTCAAGTGTCACCCCTCTTCTTCTCAAGTTCCCCCACGTTCCTCCCACCGAGCCATTCCTCAGTATTCTTCCAGCTATAACATTGACCCCGCATCAAAAAGCCTTCGGAAGCACTTTCAAATTGGCGCATCTGCGCTCCCGTTCAACGTCCACATTGCGCACGTGGATGCTGGGCTGATCATACCAACAGCTCACTAACAGAAAAGGGAATGGACCGGCTCGACTGCGAGGAAGAGGTACCAAGACGGGTTTCAATGCAACCCATCCACAGCTTGTCCAACCGGGAAGTTGAAAAGCTCCATATTTCGGCCCCTTCCTGATTCTGCCTAATAGACGAAACAGTCTTTGTCCCGCCAACTGGCACAGAAGAGCGGGGTGCTGGACTCTGCTGGACATCTCTGGGTCTTGTTACCCGGGGGTTACAGAGTAAATATGGGAATGCAAAGCGTGCTTGAGGGGGGAAAGTAAATAATGAGTGAACGAAGAAGAGGGGGAAAAGGAAAGGCGGGATGATACCATTGAATTAATAAAGTATTTTCCGGAAAGAATTTATGATCTCCCAGCAGGTATATATATAGGCGAGGGAAGCGTGGATTTCACGAGGTTGAAAGCACTTTGCCCCGTTCTTCCCTCCCTCTTCTTTTAGAAAGTACTCTAGAATCGTTCTCAGGAATTCGAACTTTCTGAGCGTGCGACGAGAATCTGAAAACGACGAAACGAATTGAACACGAAGCATCTGCCATTGGAACTTACGACTTTCACAATTTGGGACACGATGGCGAACAAGATCTTTAAGCTCAACACCGGCGCCGAGATTCCGGCCCTCGCTTTCGGTAAGGAACCTGCTCTCCCACCAATCGTCAACATAGAGTTCTCCCACCTCTATCTTCAAACAATGAAGCGAGCATTACTAGGCATCTAACCCTGTCCCATCTGGGGAACCCCCAAACCAGGAACCTGGCAAGGCGAAGGCGACAAAGTAAAAGCAGCCGTCTCCTACGCCCTCCAAAACGGCTACAAAGCCGTCGACTGCGCCTACTGCTACGCCAACGAAGACGCCGTAGGCGAAGGACTCCGCGAGGCCTTCGCGTCCGGTGTGAAGCGCTCGGACATCTTCATCACGACCAAAGTATGGTGCACGTACCAGACGTCGCCCGAGAGGGTCGAGGAAGGAGTGGACAAGAGCCTGAAGAGCTTGGGGTTGGATTATCTCGATTTAGTCATGATTCATTGGCCCGTGGCGATGAATCCGGAGGGGAACCATGATCGGTTTCCGACGTTGCCGGATGGGAAGAGGGATATTATTCATGGGCACTCGCATATCGATACGTGGAAGTCGTTAGAGAAGTTGTTGGCTACGGGGAAGGCTAAGGCGATTGGGGTTTCTAACGTATGTATCCCTTTCTACCCTTTTCCCCCATCGTTCTGAAGACTAACAAACTCGGGATGGATAGTATAGCAAGCGATACCTTGAACAGCTTCTTCCCCACGTCACAGTCACGCCGGCCGTCAACCAAATCGAGAACCACCCTTCGCTGCCCCAGCAAGAGATTGTTGATTTCTGCAAGGAGAAGGGCATCCACATCATGGCGTACAGCCCGTTCGGCAGCACAGGCAGCCCCATGTTCAAGGCTGAGCCGGTGGTCAAGGTTGCCGAGAAGAAGGGTGTCAGCCCCGGAACTATTCTCCTCAGCTACAACGGTATGTTCTTACTGAGCCTTTCCTTTTTTTTTTTCTTTTTTTTTTCTTTTTTTTTTCCTTCTCTTTCATGGGTGTAAAATCGAAATGGCTAATAGGGCTTCCGAATCTAGTGGCCCGCGGAAGCACCGTCATCGCCAAGTCCGTCACACCCGAGCGCATCCTGCAGAACCTCCAGATCGTCGACCTCGATGAGGAGGATCTCAAGACGCTGAATGACTACTCGGATGAGTTGGCTAAGAAGGGAGAGTTGAAGCGATACGTGTACCCGCCGTTTGGTATTGACTTTGGCTTCCCCGATAAGTCTTAGCTTGACCTGGGAGATGTGTCGATTGGTGAGCATAGGGTCGTATATGGGTAGAAGGACGTATATAGATTCGAATGATGAGATGACGGCCCCTTTGCCAATGGCATTTATGCTCTACTTTCTCTTATTCTTTTCTCTTCGCTCTAGCTTATATGTCCGTAAGATACTCATATCCAAGAGCGGTATATACACCGTTTACTCCCTATGAAGTCGACCCCCTTTCATCATCATCCACATCAACAAACACCTTCATGACCAACTTACCCTCATCATCCTCAACTCTCGCAGCCATGGCAAATGCCTCAGGCGTACTATCAATCCCCCTAAACCTATGCGTCACCAAAGCCCTCAAATCAGGCATCTCCTTCGGCGATTCCGCGATCAACTGAATAGCTTTCGGATACGCATTGGCATATCTAAACACCCCTATCAAATCCACCTCTCTCAGATGAGCCGCCGATATAGGCAGCGTCTGCACGGGATTCCCCATTCCGATCAACATGATCTTGCCGCCTGGCCTCGTCGCCTATCTCACTCATTAGTTCATAAACCCCAATAACAAAAAAATGAAGTAAAGAAACTCACATAGATGGCCGTCTGTAAAGAACCCTCCACTCCCGTCCCCTCAAAACAAACCCCCACTTCCCCAACCTTCCTCCCAGACACCTCCACCCCCTTCACCCTCTCAGCCACCTCCCTCGCAAACGCCAACCTCCCCTCAACCAAAGCCGCCTGGCCCGCGTCCATACGGGGTACCTCGACGACGGCGTCGGCGAAGCCGTGCTCGAGGGCAAAGTCGAGACGGCGGCGCTGGATGTCGGCAATGATGACGGGGAAGGCGCCGTGGACTTTGCTGACGGCGGCGCAGAGGAGGCCGACGGGGCCGGCGCCCATGATGAGGACGGGGGTGGAGGATAGGTTTGTTGAGGCGCGGGTGTGGGCGTGGATTGCGACGGAGAGGGGTTCGATGAGGGCGCCTAGTTCGGGGGGAGTGTCGGGAGGGAGTCTAGATTATTAGCACTATCCTTTCGCACACACATATATATCGTCCTTTTATTTGAGACTCTTTTTTGAATCGTGATAGCGGAGGAGCCTTTAAGGATTACACTCACTTATGGCACCATTTCGCAGGATGGTTAATCCTCTCCTGTAAAGTCCCCTGAGGATGCGGAAACGCCTTCGCCGAGCTCCGGAACCTAATCCCCTGACAGATGTTATACCGCCCTTCGAGGCAACGATCGCACGTGCCGCAAGGTAGGCCGACTTCGAGGGCGACTAAGTCACCGACTTGAAGGTCAACAACATCGGGTCCCAGGGCGACGACGCGAGCGTTGGATTCGTGGCCGAGGGAGAAGGGTTCGAGGACGGGGATGTCGCCGTTGCGGAAGTGGGTGAAGTAGTGGAGGTCGGAGCCGCAGAGGCCGGTGGAGAGGATGGAGACTTGGACTTCGCCGGGGGAGGGGGGAGGGAGGGTGCGGGGTGTCTGAGGAGGGCGTGGGTTAGCTAGTTTTGGTTTTTGGATATCAATTGATGTAGTCTGGGGCGCACGGCGTCTATTGTGGGTGAGAGCGGAAATGAGGGAGGAGGGAGAGCGGGGATGAGAGATGAGAGTTGGTAAGTGAGAGAGTGAGTGAGAGTGTGTGTCTGTGTCTGATCTTACTTACAACTCGAATATCGCGAGCAGCGTAGAGAACTGACGCTTTTACGGAGGTGGAGGAATCCATGACTTTAGCTTGTAGTTAGCCCGGCTACAATTGATTTTGGAGGATTACGGAAATAAAGAAGATACAGGCCGAGATTCTTGATGTAGGAATTCCCAGATAGAAGTCTTGAGCTTGAGGGTGAGATCTGCTAAAGCGTCACGGGGGATATTATAACCGGCCTATTGGTCTAATGCTACCCAAAGACTGTGGATCAATTGATGCGGCCATCGCTCCATATCGTGGGCATGTTACGCCGGACTTGGTAGTGCATTGCGCCGTAACAAGTTGGATAAACGAGTCGGCTCTCTTGGATTGTGAGGTTTATTGGATCTTGGAGAAATTCAGTCCATTTCACTCATGCCATAATTGATCTTGTTCGACAAATGGTCTGCACTTCAGCAAAATCATGACTTGAGCTCATCGATACACGCAACCGGTTGCAAAGCTTCACTGGACTCATAAGATAAAAAACAATAACGATAAAATAAAGAGAGATTATTATCAAAATCACTCTCTCTTCATCACCTCTTCTTAACCCAACTTTCCAGGAACATACGGATGTCCCGCACTCAACCCCCCATCAACAGCCCAAGCCTGCCCATTAACATAGCTACTCTCATCACTCCCCAAAAACAGCGCCACCCTCGCAATCTCATCCGCGTGCCCGCCCCTCCTCAAAGGGTTCAGCTGCCCAATCTTCTTCTCCGTTCCCCTGGCCCTCGCGGCGTTGAACACGGGCGCCGTCATGCCCGTCTCGATGAGGCCCGGGCAGATGGCGTTGACACGCACGCCCGTGCCGGTCAGCTGGTAGGCCGTCGTCTGCACGAGGGAGATGACGGCGGCTTTGGAAGCGGAATAGGGGGTCGAGCCGGCGTTGGAGCGGAGGCCTGCTACGGAGGCGGTGCCGATTATGCTGCCGCCTGCTTGGGGTTTTGTGGGGGAGGTTTTGGTCATGGCTGGGGCGGCGTATTTGGCTGCTAGAAAGACGCTGGTGGGAGGGAAGGAGTGAGAGTGTTAATCATAAATAAAGAAGAGAAAATAATATAAAAGAATGAAAGGAATTGCGGGGGAGGGTGGGTGTCTGCCGTCAGATAAGAAATACAGTTCACTCACCTCAAGGTGTTCGTCCTCAAGACAGTCATAAACTCCTCTTCGCTGAACTCGGTAAAAGCAACAGTCTTACCCACGATGCCCGCGTTAGCGAAAAAGACATCGAGCCGTCCGTAGCGCTTGATAGCGTCGTCGACGACTTCCTTCACGCTCGCCTCATCGGCGGCGTCGAAACGCCGGGCGTGGACCTCGACGGAGGGGAAGGCGGCGACAATCTCGGCCTTGTGGGCTTCCAGATGTGTTCCGTCATAGTCGCAGATGTAGATTGCGCGGGCGCCGCTTTCGGCGAATTGGTGAGCGGTGGCGCGACCGATGCCGAGGAGTGAGTTGGCTCCTTAAACGGGGTTTAGACTTGGATGAAGGGTGGAAATGTGCAGGGGAGAAGAGGGACAGGGGAGGAAGGGGATTACCGGTGATGATGACAACCTTGTCCTTGACCCGGGGAGCACTCGATCCCGGAGCAACCTTACGAATGGGCGGCAAGTCTGTGGAATTGAGGTGCTGGCCGATGGCCGCGATGCGATCCTTGGCTTTCTCCGCCATTGCAACTAAGCGAGCCAGCAAGCCTGAGTAGATTCGTAGTCGAGGGGTTCCTCTTTATACCACAACTGAATATAGTAATGTACTTAGTTATCAAAGTAGTCTCCCGCCCTGCTTGGATGAGTGGACGTGGAGAGAAGAGGACGGGTTCTAGTAGTTCCAGAGCTTGGGGAATGCATGTTCCAAGTCCGGATGCGAGCCGAGGTTTGCGGAGGCGCGGCAGTGCGACAGCGCTGTAAATTACCCCGGACGGATTTAGCGATTTAGTGTCATGTGGAGTCAGCGGTGTTTGCAAGAGTCCAGCGAGGCACTGACAATTTCTGGGGTTGCTTTTTACTCTTGCGATTTTATTTTCTTCTTTTCTTCTCCTTCGTCATATTAATGCACGATTGTCAGGACCAAAGAGTTCGAAGACTCGATTGTCGGCGTCTGCTGTTGGACATCTTGGAAGGACGGGAACCGAGTCGGATGGAGTTGTCGAACGAAACCTGATGGTCCAGCGAAATAACACCAACTCCAGCAGCCCTTGTTCTGCCTGTTTAAGGCCCCTCTTCGCAAGTTTCGAGGTGGGCAACTTGCCCGCTGATGCATGAGCCGGGGACGCGACGCGGCGTTGACCCGTTGTCCAAGCCAACAGTGGCAATGGCATTGCTGGATGAAGATGACAAGGCTACCTAACCAGGCGGGCGTTGAAAAGGCCCGACACAGCCCATGGTGGTGGCGCAGGAGGAGAAAGGAGCGGATGTAAAATTGCTGATGAAAAAAATGACATTTAAGTCTCTCCAGCTCCCAATGTCCTCGCTTTCGCCGACGAAGAAGGCTTTCCACCACTCTCCCATCCCATCTACTTAAATCCCACTCCCCTGGGGCATTCAGATCAATGTCACCGAATATCGAGACCGTAATTAACGCCATTTCTCATCCACACCTCTATCCTATCTGAGAATGTTAGAAGCCTTGGCCGCAGTCGGCCTCGCCGGAAATGTTGTCCAATTCATTAGCTTTGCATCAGACTTGATCTCGGCCAGCACCGAGATCCATGGCTCCATGAGTGGGTGTTCCGAAGGAGTACTTGCCCTCGACGCAGTGTATGGACAACTGGGCGATCTAAGTGCCGGTCTGGACGCAACTTCCAATAGCGGCGTACACTTCTCAGCCAGGGAGCTAGCCAAGAGTGTGGCCACTATCAAGAACCTGTCCCGCTCCTGCAAGGAGGATTGCGATAAACTCCTGGGTATCGTTCAAAAGCTCAAGACAAATAGTGGATCGAAGAGTATGTGGAAGAGTTTTCGAGTGGCTCTAAAGACAGTCTGGGAGAAGAAACACATTACTCAATTGGAGGAACGACTGAGCAAGACTCAGGTGGCATTGACTCTCCAAATCTGTGCGATTTCCAGGTTCGTATTATCATGTACACTTGCATCACGCCTCACCCTGTAGTTTGAGGGTATCGTCACTTACACATAGCCGGTCTGGCCCCGGTTCTGGCAGTCATTGGCACAGCGACCACAACCGGGAACTACAGCGGCTGCAGCTCGATGCCCACGTTCTGCATCTAAACCAGTCCAAGAAACTCAACCAAATTTCCGACGCCCTGTCACGACTAGAAACACATATTGCTTCAGTCCAGTCCAATCCCCACGATAACCCATTCATTGGCACAGAAATCGTCAAATTGGAGGACCAGTTCCGCCAGTTGGCAGTATCAGAAGACGACGTTGCGAGAGAGAAGGCGGTTTTGGAAACCCTGCGCTACGAATCTATGCCAGTCAGGCACAGTTTGATCCCAGAAGCCCACAAGCAAACTTTCCGATGGATCTTTCAACAGCCCAGCGAGGACGTGACTCATGAATCCAAGTTTTGTACCTGGTTAGGAAAGGGTAATGGGATATTTTGGATCTCCGGAAAACCGGGCTCTGGCAAATCAACACTGATGAAGTTCATCACCGACGAAGATTGCACGCAAACAATTCTATCCACCTGGGCAGAACCGAAGAGTGTCGTCATCGCAAGTCACTTCTTCTGGAGCGCTGGAACTGCGATTCAAAAATCCCAGGAGGGTCTCCTACGATCCCTCCTCTATGACATCTTCCGCCAATGTCCCGATCTCATTGAGCAGTCATGTCCCGAGGAATGGTTAGCAAATATCAACCGCCAAACGCAAGTTAACACTAGCCACTCGAGTTTTTGGACACCTTCCGAGCTTCACAAAACTCTTCGAAGAGTGGCAAAGGAAGGAATTCTCTCTAGCAACATTTGCTTTTTCGTAGACGGGTTAGATGAATACGACGGCGATCATTTCGAGCTCTGTCGCATTTTACAAGATCTTGCAGAGTCTCCGAATATCAAAATTTGCCTCTCGAGTCGGCCCTGGCCAGTGTTCGAGGAAGCGTTTGGCAGCGACCCTTTGTATAAAATCCACGTCCATGAGTTGACGAGAGGCGATATCCAGCGGTACTCCAACAGTCGTCTTCAAGAGCACCCCCGATGGTCACATCTCGCTTCAGATCCCGCACAAGCGCGATGGCTGCTTGAAGAAATCACGGAGAGAGCAAGCGGCGTGTTCCTCTGGGTCTTCTTGGTCACAAAGCTGCTTCGGGAGGGTCTTACAAACAGAGATAGCTTTTCAGATCTTGTTCGACGTCTAGAAGCTTTTCCTCTGGAGCTTGACGCCTTCTTCAGGCATATACTGGAATCCGTTGATCCCTTTTACCACTGCAAAATGTCGACTACGCTTCAGATAACGCTCGCCGCGGTGGGGCTATTACACCCTCCCATCTTTGAATTTCACGATATGGAATACGACGACCCTAATTATGCCCTTTGCCTTCCGTTGCGACCACTCACGGAGGCTGAACTTGGTCAGATGATAGAGCGGATCAGTTGGCGGCTCAAGAGTAGGTGCCGCGGTCTTATCGAAATCCACGAGAACTCCGGGGCTGTCACTTTCCTTCATCGGACGGTCATGGACTTTTTGCAAACACGAGAGATGTCCGACTTCTTGAGCGCTAAAGGGCCGCCCAACTTTAATGCGGATCTCTGCCTCGTTAAAGCCTTCACGGCGGCTTTCAAGTTGGGTGTTCGTCGCCTGACGCCGGAAAGCTACAAGGAAATCACAACCTCTGACGGTGCTCTCGAGAGAACCGAATTCCCAGACAACCTCCTCACATGCTTAATGACCTATGCCGCACGAATTGATGAGCAGAAGAACGGCCATGAGGATTCCACCTACAAAATACTCGATGATGTCGAGCAAAGCATTAAGAAGATGAAGTCCATGGAAGTCTATCAATGCTTTTACGGTTTACCAAGTAGGACCAAATTTCGGCACTGCCTGGTGGGCTGCCATCTAGTCGGCTATCTTCGCCGCAAGTTTCTCAATGAACGAAACTATGCAGCACGTTTCGGCCAGGATCTCATCAAGCTGGTCTTACCAGAATCTCCTCGTTTTTATACCTTCAAACAGTGGAAAGGCAGATGGGCCGACGTACTCCGCTGCCTTCTAGAGACGGGGTTGAACATTGATGACAATAAGGCGGGTCGGTTTGGCAGCAGCCCCTGGGCGATTTTGATTGGTCATATCACCTCATGGGCAGCAGCAGAGTGTGTATTCGAGTGTTACGAATGGAAGGCTCGATTTTGGACCATGCTAGAGTCTAGCAACATATCACTCGCCCTGAAGAACGGGGCGGATCCCAATGCCCTAGTTCGGCGTCGCAAAATGGGGTCTTTTGTGTATTCGACAGCCTGGATAGACTTCCTGCTTCTTTCCTTCGACATCTCGGCAAATCCCGCCCACGAATCACTCTTCCTAAAAGTTCTTGCTGATTTCATCAACGCAGGCGCAGACCTGAAAACAGCTGTGTTTTCACTTTCAGAAGAAGAGGTCAAACACGCCAAAGGGGGAAGCACCGTCCACGAAAAGTTTTTCGGCCTACTCGAACGTGGGCCGGTCGCCGAGTCGAGCCAATACAACCTTCCCCTCCTGGCCGAAGTTACCAATGTGCTGCTGTCGAAGGCGCACAAGGTTGGGTTGGAATGGCCCATGGCTGACATATGGCGCGTGGTTGACAAGGTTTTCCCGCCGCAGTTGAGAGCCCAGATTCGACTCCGGTATACGAGGCTCAGTCAAGGAGCAAAGGATGGCCGTGGAGCCAAAGGCAAGAAAAGAAAGCGTGACAGGGACGGGAATGGGAGGACTGTTCGGAGAAAGCCCTGACGGATCCTCCTGCGCACGGGATGGATTACGACAGAGAACCCAACTTGAGTGGCATTGTATTATATTGTATATTAACATTTGTCGTGGCCCGAAATCATGTGCTTCCTCTCTATGGTAGCAGGAAAGTGACCGCCCTTTGACACACCATTAAGGTTTGTGGGTAGGGACGCCGGATGCAGAAGACTTCATCGGCAAGTCTGTCAACAATCTCTTCCGTCCTCTGAGCGTATCAACAGAAAAAACGATGGCCCTCGCAGATCGCACCAGCATCACCCCATCCCACCCAGTTCAAGGCCCTCCTCTTGGCCCGGGCAGATTTATCCTGAAAGCAGCATTGAGAGAACCTCCATCAAGGAAGCTTGGCTTCTCATTGCCTCAGCCGCCGCCCTTCGCAGCAATTGCGCTTCTTGGCCTCTCTGCTCTTGTGTTTCCGCAACTTCTGCCATCTTGGACAGAACTTTACCGACCGCCCAAGCATCGTTCTCCTTCCGGTCTTGGAGGCTAGCTGAGAGCGGCTCTAGAATGTTTTCCATTTTAGGCGACAGCCATCCATAGGTTACACCACCAGCTCCGCCAACGTCAATAAGAACGAGATTCCTGTCCTTATCAATTACTACATTAGACGTTTTGATATCCATATGGGTTATATCATGCTGGTGAAGAGTGGCAACCGCAGTACATAGCTGAGTTCCCCATTGCTGCCAAGGAGCATCAGCAGTTTTCGAGTCCAAAGCCTCGGCAAGGGTTCCTCCAGGATGGTGCTCGAGGAGAAGCCCACGTAATACCTGGGGTGCCTCCTTCAAGGGATCGGTCGCATAGGGATTTATTGAGACAATAGCTGCAACAAATCGGATAATATAGCGCTGGCCGCCTACTTTTTCGAGGACCTGCAGTTCTCGTTCGAGGGCTTGACTGTCTTGGGGTAGATATATTAGCCGCTCGACCTGCTTTAGTATATATGTTTGACTCTCGGGTTGGATTTGGGCAGTGAAGACTGCTTGGCTGATTTCGGTAATGGGTTTAACTTTTGATAGTTCAATCCGCGGCGTGCTACCGTCACCAGTGTAGGTGGGATACTGATACCGAGCTGGGTGTTCACAGATATTGACCCAGAACCCACCAACCCCCGCAAAGGGGTGATCTTTCAGAAGTTGGCGATAAACAAGTTTCGTCGCTGTGCTGTTTGTGTTTTTTGTACTGATGTAAACCTCTGTTACTGTGTCGTGTAATAAAGAGTCGAAGTCAATAGCAGAGCAAAGATCCATTAATGCCTTTTTCCGCGCTGGCAGTCCAGAGATGTTTCCAACTCCATATTCAAGGATAACACGAACATGCCAACGATGGTTGTTCTTAGTTGCTACTAGCTGTATGCTATGACCTCGAGGCTTTCCTTCCTGTGTGTATCCGTGACTGTTGGTGTAGCACCGGCGATGTGGGAACTCGATAGACCAGAGAGCCGGTTCAGATCGCGGTTGTGAGAGGGCGACCGTGAACATGCCGAAAGTCGTCGAAACTACAAGTACGATGATCCGTGTAAGTTGAGGATGAGGAGAGGAAAAACGGGTCCGAGTCTCGGGCCGTGGAAAGGCGCGATAGCGTGCCTCAACGGGCCCGCACGTGATGGATTAGTTGGGTCCGAGTGCATCAACCTCCGATCGATTTGCTCCTTCCTTGCAGATATCGTTTCCGCGTGCCTGAATTTCTAATTGATAACTTTGTTAAGGGGTCAAGGGTGCCGAAAATGGACCCCTCCAATTGCCCCTTTGGGATTCCATCTCTTCGTAGCTTCCTTATCCCACTTGCGAGTAATGGTCGAGATGCGGGTTGTAAGGACCCAGTCATGGAAGGAGCGAGGGAGCTATAGAGAACACGCATTTATATCTGTAGTTGGTTCATACAGTAGGCCCAAAGCTCGTTCCCGTCCCACGTTCCACGTTCTCTCCCATTAGGTCACTTATTACCCCTCCCCCGCTCCCATTTTGGCGTCACCTTGTAGCACGCGGCTCTGACACCAGGTATCTCCAACATCTCCAAGTCCACGGTAATCATGGCTGCCAACCTATTCTCCCTTGAAGGGCACACCGCCGTCGTCACCGGTTGCACCCGGGGCATCGGCCAAGCCATCGCCATCGGGCTCGCCGAAGCGGGCGCCGACATTCTTCTCATCCAGGTATGCCAGAACCAACACAGGTTCACTTAGCTTCCGAAATCATGGACAAGCCATTACCTATTTTATCAAGACGCAAAATTCGAAAATAGCTTTCTGATTCCCAATTCCTAATTATCTTTGTATACATAGAGAGACACCTCCAACACCGAAACTAAAGAAGCCATCGAAAAGCTGGGCCGCAAAGCTATCATTTACACGGCCGACCTCTCAATCCAAGACCAAGTCTCCTCTCTGGCCCCCCGCATCTTCGCCGACGGTCATGAAGTCCGCATCCTTGTCAACTGCGCGGGAATCCAGCGCCGACATCCCTGTGAAGAATTCCCCGATGGTGACTTTAACGAAGTAACTCTCTCTCTTTCATTCCCAGCCCTTCCCCCGCCAAAGGAAGAAAAAAGGGGAAAAGATCAGTTTAAAAAGTAAGCTAAAAAATAACTCTCACAGGTCATCCAAATCAATCTCAACGTAGTCTTTTCCCTCACCCGCGACCTCGGCCGCCACATGCTCTCCCTCCTCCCATCCCCCGTGACAGGCCGCCGCGGTTCCATCATCAACATCGCCTCGTTACTCTCTTTCCAGGGCGGCTTCACCGTCCCCGCCTACACGGCGTCCAAGGGCGCCGTCGCGCAGTTGACCAAGAGCTTCGCGAACGAGTGGACGTCCAAGGGTGTTACCGTGAACGCTATCGCTCCCGGGTACATCGAGACGGACATGAACGAGGCGTTGCTCAAGGACGAGAATCGGTTGAGGAGTATTAATGAGAGGATTCCGGCGGGGAGGTGGGGCACCCCGGAGGATTTTAAGGGATCGGTTGTTTTTTTGGCGGGGAGGGGGAGTGCGTATGTTTCGGGGCATGTGTTGGTTGTTGATGGGGGATGGATGGGGAGGTGAGATTGGAGAGGGATGCAATGACATTTATAGACGGTTGAGTGTTTTGAGAGAGGACAGTGACGAGAAAGGAGGGAAATACAAGAAGATTGGTATATTCACTAGATCTAAGATAGATGCCTCATAACCTTCAATCTTCCATTAACTCAAGCAGTCCTCTTGGCTCCATCCATGACGCTCTCCATCCAGGGGTACACGGAGGAGTTGGCCATGGGATAGCCCATGTGCAATGCTCCGCTGAAGAACCTCGCCTCCTTTGGCGACCCGTACTCGAACAACATCATCGAGTCCTCAATCGGCATGAGGCCGTCTAGCGTGCCCTATCCCCTTTTCGTTAGTGATGGCGACTTCGATAAATATGAAGAAGGGGAAGGCGGGCTAGGGCTAGTCTCTCACATTGATGAGCAGTAGCCTTGTCGATGGCTTCTGAATGATGCCCGTCTCAAGAAGGGAAAACTTCTTCTGCACGCCTTTTTTGTACTCCTCCACCGAATCATACCCATGCTTCATCGCCATGGCCGGTGTAAGTCTATATCAACCCGATTAGCCCATGATCCTTCAGAAGAAAGGATTTATTCTCCAACCACGAAAGAAAAGCCAAAACGTAGAAAAGGAAACGAAACTCACTTAAATGGATACTCATGCCCATCAACCCTCTCCAACCACGCCTCATCAAAAAAATAATGACACCCCGCCCCCTGCGCAACACACCCAACCAGCCTCTCCCTATGCGTATGCGCGATCCTCACCGCATAGTAACCCCCCGAACTCAATCCCCAAACCATGACCCTCCCCATATCAAACCTCCCATCCTCCTCCATCCACGCCAGCACGCTATCCCACAGCCTCTCTGGACTCATCGGATCCGCCGAATCGGCCGGACAATCCGCCGTTCCCGGAATCTCCACGACGACGCTAGCCCACCCCCGCGCGAGGAACTCGTCGCACCGTACCGTGTTGTCGGGCCTGTACCCGTCCAGCCCCGTCATGAGTATCACGACGGGGCAGGGGTTCGTCGTCGAGGGGGCCCGGACGTAGACGGGGATGGTTGGACGGTCGAGCCCGGAGGCGTATTTGTGCGGGATGGAAATGTCTTCGACGGGGTTGGGCCAGAGGGCGGCTGCTTTCATGTATACGAGCTTTTGCTGCTCCCAGGCGCGCCATTTTATGGGGCAGTTTATGGTGGGGAAGGAAGTGATGTAGGGGAAGCGCGCGATGCGGAGGACGCTGGCGGCGCGGAGGTAGAGGGCGCTTGCGGTGGCGGTGTCTCCCGAAGAGAGGGCTTCGTCGCCCTTGGTGGTTAGGGAGGCTGCGGTGGGGAAGAAAGCTTGGGTGTACGAGGGGGAGGTGCCGTCGTTGATGTTGTACTGGAGAAATGTGTTAGAGGTCCTGGGGTTAGAAATTGGGGGAGGGAATGAACTTGCCTTGATCAAGTATTGGAAGATGGGTTCAAAGTCTTCAAATTGGCCGTCGTGGAATGGATACACACTCTTGGTGCACTGCAAGTCTTCAGCACACAAAATACTCTCCCTTCAACTCCTCAACCCGGGATCAAGGGCGTAGACATACCGGCAGCTTCCACTTCGTCTCCCAAAGCGCCTTCATCCCAGAATGATGCTCCATCGTCCGCTCAAATGCGTTCGTCCCCATAAGCCACACCCTGGGCTCCACTGGCCCCAACATCTTGGACTCCAAGACTTTCATGGCTAACAAGTAAAAGGGAAAAAAAGAAAGGGCAAAAGGGAAAGAAAAGAAGAAGAGGAACGAGAGAGAATATCCCACCAAAGGAAAAAAAAAAAAATTCTCTGTCAGTAATGATTGAGGTTGGCCACGCGTACGGCCCGGTGTTTTGCAAACAGGCGACGTCCTGTGTTAGTCGTGACGGGAGTAACCTGCGTCTGCTTCCTGACAAGCCTGGCCCGCTTCTTGTCTTCTGCGTTGAGTAGGACGCTATGAACGATGGTCAGCTTGGAGTTATAGAAGACTCGAGGGAGTAAAGGGAAGGAAGAAGGACGGACTAAGACTGCAGCGAAGCGATCCTCACGCGCGTAAACGCAACATGTAAGTCCTGCAACATATTGGGACGAGGGCAGAGTTATAAAGACCTAATAGTCCTCTTAAAAAGCAAAATATGACCGTATCGGGTTGAGAGGAGGTAGTACCGAGATGAAACTACGAGCCGCAAGACGAGGACAGAGAAACGGGGAAATCCTCTAAAATACGAGAATTAACGAAGTCCAGTAATAAACGCCAAGAAACGAAAGAGAAAGCAGTCTTGGGAATATTGAAATTCCGGGGCGGTGGAACTGGAATTATTGTAAATAGGGCGTTGGGGATATCCGGGATGTCATTCACGAGAGAAGGGGGGGAACGCAAGGGAGTGATCAATAGCTCTAGTTATCTTCACTTCCATTGTGTGTTCTATTGATGATCAGAGTACGATGAGCCAAGAACAGTCCACGACTACGTTATTATTTCATGTTCGCTTGCTTCAGGGTGGCTGGCTGGTCTGACCCTCGTTCGCCAGCCAGACAGAATAATTCGTGGAAGTCAGAGGACGCAAAGGGATCCTGACTCGGGGTGACACAACATCAAATAGCTCCCCCGACCTCCGCCAAGGCCGTCAGCTCGGTTCTCCGACAAAAAGAAAAATAGACGAGATGGCCGACGTTCTTCGTAAAAATTCGCCAACCAGTTTCTGCAGAAGACTGTCATCTTGTCCGAGCCAATGGGAAGTATCCAAGACTGTCTCCGCCCCGAAGAAGTAATGCTGATGTCTTGCGGGATGACACTTGAATCAATCTCGATGCTTGTGACCAGATTTTCGGACATTGTCTGGGAGAGAGGGGATTCCCGAAAGGTCTTCCCCAGGGAAAGAAATCAAATCTTTCTCCAGGGTATTCTGGGTAGGATAAGCTTCGGGCTGACTTCCTGGGCATGTAATTCTATAAAAAGCGCCTCGGTATCTATATCTGTAAATCCGCTCCCACGAAACGGTGACGACAAAGCATGGAGGAACAGGAAGACACATACATCTTCACCTTTCGCCAAACCCTCTACCCTCGGGCTTCTATACGTTCATAACTTTCCATCTAACGCGAAAACACCAACAACAAGAATTAGTCCCATAATGGCTAAAAATATTCCCGAAAACAAGCCAGAACCGTCATGCCCCGAACCACCTCCCCCTTTATGCCGCGAAAATCCGCGCTCTATTCCCTCCATAAGGGAATTACGCGAGCAGCGGGAGTCTCACAAGAGGGTATCAGAAGGCCACTGGCCGTCAAAACAAGGAAGTTCCGGGGTGTAAAAAGAGGAGAGAAGGAAAAATAAAAAGAATCACGAAGATTTACTCTTGGATCCCTCGTAGTAATGCGCCATCTGCAGGCCGGCCCTCTTAAAACCGCACTTGATATAAAAGCCCTCGTTCGCCTCGCTGCAGTCAAGAATGCTCTTATAGCAGCCCACCTTCTCGGCGACGTAGTCGAGGGCCTGGATGATTCGTAGGCCGAGCTTCTTGCCTTGCTGGTCCTTGGCGACGGCGATGTCTTCGATGTGGCCGACCTGGCCCAAGCTGTGGATGCTATAAAGAGATCAAAGTTAGCAGACATGTTTCATAAGCGGTCTTTTTTTATATATATATATATATAAAAAAAAGAGAAAAAATAGTGAAAAAGGGAAAGAAAATGATAAACGTACAACTTCTTCTCAACAATCAAAGCCCCCGTACCAACAACGGTCTTCCTCGCTGTATCCTCTACCACAAGAATATAGTACCCATCCTGACCCGCCATCCACTCATACCGCTCGTCGAAGGCCTCGCGCGACACATCGCCCACCGTCGTCAGCACGCGTAAGCAGTCGAGGAATCCCACATCGTAGTCGGAGCGACGGAGGGCGCGGACGGAATAGCCTTCGGGGAGGGAGGCCGCAACCTCAGGAGAGATGAGGTCGTTGGAGAAGAGGCCTTGGTCGGTCATTTTCACGTTGGTCTTTGGATGTCGAAAAGGGGGACTGGAGAGTGGGGGATTGGGATAATTGGGCTCGGCAGACGGGTTTATTTTGCCTTTGGGCTGGTTGGGCGAGAATAGAAAAAAAAAAATTAGAGTTCAGCCTCTTCTTGGAGAAAAGGGGTTTCGGAGGAGCTGCTGGGCTGAGTGCTGCGGGAAGATGGAGAGGAGGGGTAGTTAGCAGCACAGCATTGATCAATGGACTGGGCTCAATTGATGGGCTGGAAGAGGAGGGAGGGGCAGGAGCTGGAATCGACCCTGCCCTGTTTTGGCCCCTGTGTCTTCGTATTCGTCCCTGACTGGCTCAGCCCCCTGGCTAACAAGTCAGCGCTACGACGAGAGTGGAGAGTACCAGGCCATACTGAGAGGTACGAGTTGACAGTTGAGCTTGGGGATCCTGGGCGCGTCCCGATTTAGAACAATGGGAACGTTGAAGCCGGAGTACAAAGGTACACTGCGAAATACATTCCCGGCGGCCGACTGCATGTTCCTCCATGTTCCCCTGTAAATATTTAGCAAAAGAAAATATAAAGGAAAAAAAATATGAATATAGCAAGGACGAGTAAATTCCAAAATAGTCCAGGGTCTCCTGTGAAGCGGAATGAAAAGTAGTAGAAAAAAAAAAAAAAAAAAGATGGCAAAAAAGTTCAGCTCCAGGATCGAACCCTTTGCCTATGAAAACGATCCGGGGTCGTTTTCTAGCCTTGTGAGTCGCTGGTCTTGGCCCGCCAGACCATCACGAGTGCAGGCTCGCTTGAACAACTCGGCTGGTAGGTTTGCGCTGTACCCTCATATATAAAGTTATGTTGGGGTCCATTTTGAGGGGAGAGGATAAGGGAAGGAGGGATGGGGAGGGTTCCTTCCCTTGAGGAGATATAAGATGAAATGCTGGACACAACTTTGGACGGATAGCTTAAAGACTCTCTATAAATCCAAAAGAGAAAAGTGAAGAAAAATGGGAATCATGGACAGCTAACTTTCAACAAGCGTCTATCCCTCCACACTTCTTCATCCATCTAACAGTCCAAGAGAAGGAAAGGGTTATGATACGGAGTAGAGGTGCTTAAATAGCTGGAACCAGCTGCCGGCAACAAGAAGGCATCTTCGAGGTGGTCCTATATCAGAGCCGAGAGTGTATGTACATCGAAAAGATGTCCTTGCCGAGACTGCCAGGCCGAAGATGGAATCCTTAGGCTGGCCCATGAACGGAGGGGTCTCCGGGCAGGAAAAGATATCATTGGGATATGCGTGAGGAAGGGGGAGGGGGGGAGGGGGCCGCTAATTAAGGGAAACCGAATAAGATGCAGCATACCGAGGACCGTCGTATTTGGCACCGACACTTTTGATCGCAGGCGCGGCTATTCTAGCGGTTACTTCTTGCGTAAGTCACCCCGCCATTGGAGGCTAAGCGCGAACACCAAGCGAAAGCTGTATTGAACCAGGCGAGGGAAGCGTTACCAGCACGTCTCGACCCACGTGTAGCGAAACCCTCCCATGGCCGGGAACCCGATGTTGACCGAGGCATGCTGGTGCTACAGCTGATGCAGCTTTTGGCCATCCATCCGACCACATACGAGCGAAGAGGCACATCCTCTAGTGATGGATCCCGCCTGGAACCCCTAGCACACTACCGAGGCATTTGATCTCAAACTTCCTTCTAGCCATGAGGTATAGCAAATGACTGATGATGCCTGTCTAACCGCTTCGAATACGCCCAGGCCTCCCCGCGGGAGGCACGGCCCAAGAGCTCAAGTTGCACTTACTGCACCACGCACATCACACAAGTTGATCGCCAGCCCAGACAAGTAAAGCCAGAACTAGATTTATTCAGGGCTCGACATCAGTGGTATCTCGAATACTCTATATACATAACAGATCGTTTTTTTTGTAACACCACCATGCCGACGCCTCTTACCCCTAAAAATGCCGCTTTGAACAGAATAGAAATAATATAATATGCAAAAAAAGGTGAAGTTACAGATACTCTGACCGAGCATCAAGAACAAGGTTAGAGTATTTCATCTAAATCTTGTAGGGCTTAGGGCCGATCATGAGTTCGGGTCGGACAAGGGTATCGAACTCCTCCTCGGTGAGGGCGTTGAGCTCGAGAGCGCTCTGCTTGAGGGTGAGACCCTTCTTGTGAGCGTTCTTGGCAACCTTGGAGGCCATGTCGTAGCCGATCTTGGGGTTAAGGCAGGTGACGAGCATGAGACTAGAACAATGCGGTTAGCAAGGATGGCTGACAATAGTTTGTACAGGGCGAATTATGAGGGGACTCACGATTCCTTCATGATGCTGGCAATCTTCTCCTCGTTAGCCTGGAGACCAACAACAAGGTTCTTCTCGAACGAGCGCATGCCATCCGAGAGGATCCTAATGCTGTGGAGCAAGTTCCTGATCATCAGGGGCTTGTAAACGTTGAGCTCGAACTGGCCGTTCATGCCGCCAATGCTAGTCGCAACGTTGTTGCCCATGACCTGGGCGCACACCATGGTCAAGGCCTCGCACTGAGTGGGGTTGACCTTGCCAGGCATGATGCTGCTGCCGGGCTCGTTCTCGGGGAGGACGAGCTCGCCGAGACCGCAACGGGGTCCGCTACCGAGGTATCGGATGTCCTGAGCAATCTTGGTGAGCACGGCGGCGAGGGTGTTGAGGCTGCCGTGGGCCTGGACGATAGCGTCGTGAGCGGCTAGGACCTCGAACTTGTTGGGGGCCGTCTTGAACTCGGTGCCGGTCATCTTGGACACCTCTTCAGCGATGGCCTCGGCGAAGCCCTCGAAGGTGTTGATGCCGGTGCCGACGGCGGTACCACCCTGGGCGAGGAGCCTGAGGTCGGGGAGGGAGGACTCGACGCGCTTGATGCTAGAGTCGAGCTGGGCGACGTAGCCGGAGAACTCCTGGGCGAGAGTCAAAGGGGTGGCGTCCTGAAGGTGAGTGCGGCCGATCTTGATTATGTTCTTGGCCTCGAATTCGTCAACCTTCTTCTGGAGAGCGTCGCGGAGGCTCTTGAGGGCGGGGATGAGGTCGCCCTCGAGCTCGAGGACACCGGCAATGTGCATGACGGTGGGGAAGGTATCGTTGGAGGAGGCGCTTCGGTTGACGTGGTCGTTGGGGTGGACGGGCTTCTTGCTGCCCATCTGGCCGCCGAGGATCTCAATGGCACGGTTGGAAATGACCTCGTTGGCGTTCATGTTGGACTGGGTACCAGAACCAGTCTGCCAGACGACAAGGGGGAAGTGGTCGTTGAGCTTGCCTTCGGCAACCTCAGCGGCGGCCTGCTGGATGGCCTGAGCAATCTTGGGGTCTAGGTAGTTGATGTTAGCAAGCTCATGGGTACATGATCTACAAAATGACGTCGCCCGCTAAGGGAGCTCCGCTTTTTTGGAAAGGGGAACCCCTCCTTGGGGCTGGCTGTAAATTGACAGAATGAAGCTTTGGTTTCACATACCCAGCCCAAATCGCACATTGACGGCAGCAGCAGCTCCCTTAAGGATACCGAAAGCCCTGATTATAGGGAAAGGCATCCGGTCCTGGGGCTGGTTAATACGGAAGTTCTCGAGGGACCTCTCGGTCTGAGCACCCCAGTACTTGTCCGCGGGGACCTGAATCTCGCCAAAGGCGTCGGTCTCGGTTCTGGTAGCGGCCATCTTCAATGTCGTAGTGTGCAGGCTTCGGTAGGTAGGTTTATACGTCGTAGGGAGTCTCGTCGATATCCTCGCGGTGGTGGATAGAGTGCACCTCGGGAGAAGTGTGTTTCCCCGCGCAGCGGCGAGGAGAACTTGGGGAAGTCGTACACTAGGTCGCATTTTGTGGGTAAGCTTCGGCAGGGCGAATCGGCGGCTTCTGTTGTCAAGTGTCAAAGGGGGCCTCGGTGGTTTGTCTTAGTCACGACAATTGGCCTTGAATCTGGTTCAATTGTTAGAGCAGTGTGGCGTGGTTTACAGCGGGTTGCCTCGGTCGGCAGTATCACGTTTTCGCTTGTGACTTGGGAATTGGGGGATTGACCAACAAACTTGTTCAAAAGCGAGGGAAAATCGAACGAGACAAAGCTCCCAGGGTAAGATGGGAAAAAAAGCAGAGGCCAATGGAAGCTTGCTGGACCAAGCTCGAGACCTTCGGAAACAAACTCGGAGCTCCTTCCGAGTTTACGTAAGCGGGACCTCAATGTTTTTCGGACAACCAACAAATTTGTTGCCGAAGGGAATGATGTCAATGTCAAATTGTAGGGAGAGATTGATAACAATTGAATCGAGCACAGGGACCAGGAGAAGGAATCCAAGAGTCGGAAAAAGGAGGAAATAGACCCGAATATCTAATAAAAGATCAAAAACCACTTATACTATTTTCTTTGTTTAAAGTGAAAAAATTTTTGCTCCCCCAGTCTTAAAATCGCGCAGACCCTCCGTCCAACAAGGTGCCGTAAAGCCCCCTTCCTCCCTTCTTCCACAGTACCGTTCTTGCCGAACTGGCTCCCTGATTTTGGTGGGGCTTCCAAGATTTTAAAACCGAGAGAATCCCGCCAGCTCCGTTCTTGCCCGCAAAGGCCCCCAACGGCATCCACGGCGGTTGTCGCTGTGGGAGCGTGGCGGCTCGCACTAAAACCTGGAACCAACAAGTGAACGACGCGGCGCCTTAGGTTACCGGGAACTTGCGCCCAGGAAAAATTTCGGGAGGCGCTCCCCACCTATAATTCTCTCCAGTTCCGTGCCATGGACTCTCCCACATCCCCCAATACCCGAGGATACTATCCCGTCGTAATCCTTTGAGCCGGCTTGTCCCTGAAAAGCACGTTTTACCCTCTAATATTGAAACTATTTCCCCCCTTACAAGACACGCCCATCGGAATACCCCTTCCCAGCTGTTGCGTCCCCCCAAACCATGCTTACCTGTGAGGCCCCACCCCCAACATCCGATAGCCCGACTCGCATCACCCCAACATGCCCCCATCTAATCACATATCCCTGTCCCACTTTCGTTCCACTAAGCTCAACACGCGAAGCTGACTGACCGTGCTCTCATCCATCCAGTCTGCCCCTACGACGGGTCGCTCTTGACCGTCGGAACCAGATCCGGTCACAACCGTTTGGAGTGCCGGGCTTGTCCTTACATCTACCCCATCACGCATCCTCTGTACTCGCGTACCTACTTTGAGCGCAAGGCTAGGGAGGACGAGATTGGTCCTACTGATTGGTCCAATGCAGCCAAGGCTACGGTGCAGTGTCCGAAGGAGGGCTGTGAAGGGAATGAAGCGGCTTTCTTCCAGGTGCAGATCAGGAGTGCTGATGAGCCTATGACGACGTTCTACAAGGTGGGTTGTTCGATGTGCCTTTATGCTCTTCAACGTTTACTGACGTTTCCTCTAGTGTATGACTTGCGGTGGACGATGGAGAGATTAGTGGTTACAGCTGTTTTCTTGTCGGGCCAAGGATCAAAGGATACGAGGCTGTGGTCTTCGTTTGGTTTGCATCAGCATGGCGTACTCTGGTTATTAAAAGTTACTGTTTCTTAGACACATACCCATAGAAATGTTAACCACGTTGTGGTGAAGACGGGGGGCGAACCATGTGCTCTCAATGATAGTGATATATGCCCATTAACACGTAGCACTGGGAAGCAATTCGTTTTTCTTGGCCTGATCATCATGCACCTCTGGATACTGAAGCCTGGATCAGGGCTGCTTCGTGCATGACTATAATCCATCCACTCTCTTGACAGTCAGCTCCCACATGCTTCTTCCCTCCAAAGCTAAAGGTTTCAACGGGTGACGTAGAAGCAAGTTAGGGGGCCTAGAACCTCAATAACCATATCACCTCCACCCTTGTATCCAGAGCACCTCATTCACTTGTAGTTCACTTGAAGGGCAAAACAGCGGTAGGGGTCGAGGTAAATGTGTCGAAACTGCCGGTATATTTGGATCCGATTTCCTTTGTCCCTTTCCCGATCCCAGCCTAACCCTCTATATCACCAGGATAGGTCTCTATTGCGTATTTTCTCATCAAGAGTGGTGATGTACAAATCAAATACAAGCGTAACATAGTAAAAAGGACAAAGCATAGCAATCCCTCAAATCCTATCACCTCTTGACCGACTCGAGCATCTTGAGAATCTCGGACTCATTCTCTCCCACAACAGCCTTTCCATTATTCCAATCAACAACCTGAAAAATCTCTCATTAGCGAACCATTCCATGCATACGTCTCTCTCTATCTCTACGCAGAGCGGAGCTCCCATGTGAAATCACTCACCAACGGCCTCTGGAAGCTGTTCCTATCCTGCTTAAACCTCTTCAACGCCTCCGTAACATTATTCGCGCCCTTAACGACATGAGGAATTTCCGCAGGGCCAATGTATTCCAGGATAGTCTTCACCTGGTCCTCAGTCGGCGGCTCCTCGGTGATGTTGAGCTCGAATGGCTCACGGGCCTTGGCGGGAGTCGAGTTCGTCGCCTCGTTGGCGGCTTGGCTGGCGTTGGCCGAGGCCGTCTTGAGGAGGTTGACGATCCGGGTGGAGGCCGGGGAGTTGGCCTTGTGGAAGAGGGTGACAATGTCGAGGGTCTTGTGCTAATTCATGGGGGACAGGGAAAGAGTGGAGCTTGTGGTTAGCTTTAGGGTCGAGCTGGGGCTTTTTCTCTTGCGTCTGGGAAGTGTGAGGCTTACGAATCGGAACATATTGGCAGGAGGTGAGTTGAAGCTCTTTAGGGTGTTTGGTTGGTGTATTGGAGCTCCCGGGTCTGAAGGGAGGATTTCTTGATGTGCAAGAAGCTTGGCTAATAGCAATGATCTCAGGTGAGGTCGCGACAGCCAACCACGTGGGGTTTCGTCACAATGATGGATGAGTAAGATACCCCACTCAGCAGACAGCACAGATCAATTGATGAAGCTCCTGGAATGAAGCGGGATGCTAACATGAAGGAGCAAGAGCATGAATAAATTGGACACTGAAGTCTACGGTCGGCAATGGGACTTACTCGACGTCGGCTCCGTGTGAGGCCTTAGTTGCCGTCGGTTGGTGTCATTTGATACCACGTTAACGTCGGCACTAAGAGCTTAAGAAGCTTGAAACGGTCCCTGTTGAGAGATTCCTATCATTCTGGGGTAGTGATGTTCTGGGGATGTCTACGTCCACCAGCTATTCAACTAGCAATACGATAGTATATTGTCCTCTAGTCTATTATCCTGTCCAACAATTAGGATCCACCCACTGCCGATCAGCCACAAAGCTTGATCCCTCTCGCCTGGCGAAGAGAAACTTCTCGAGCCAGCCATCAGGTTGTGAGGACGTCGGGTATGACTTAATACCCAGGTCCAGTTTCCACGGCTCAGGCGATGAAATTAATGGCCATCTAGTAGGCTTCAGTTAATCCGCGACGGTGGTAACTAGTCACCCGTCTCTTTTCAGATCAAACAGTTCCCAGGCCAGGGAGATTCATAATCGATGTTCCGGGCTCGTAAACCAACACCTTAGTTAAGCCTCTCGATAACCTGACAATTGTATGTTAGCAAGCTCGAGTGAAGATGCTTCGCAGATACAAAAGCGGATGCAATCTCGACAATCAGAATATGTAAGAACATAATATCAGATATTCGCAGGGTATAGCAGCTCCGGCGAGAGCGCCACCAAGCAAAATCAATCGCAAATTACCTCATCAGGAAGTCGAAAGAGTCGGGGAAAAGAAGTAGATAATACTAACCTCAAGAGCAGTCGGGAGTCATGGCCTCGGCGGGCCAGACTCCCGCGTCGAGTTGAATTGGCAGAGCTCAGTCTGTTCTGCAGATAAACAGTGAGGAAGAAGCTGGAGGCACTAGAAATTTCCACCAGCGAAATTTATTGCAAGATTTTGTTTGGGAACTGAAATTGCTGACATAATCCTCATCACCGCAACGACATCAAGCGCCATTGCGGCTTGCCACAGAAATCAACCAGTCACGTGTCGGAAATACAGCCCCTCCAAAGCCATTGACTGGTGTTAGGGCAAATCCATTTTTTTTACTCACACACGACTAGCTGACGACGTCCAGATACCGCCGGCGTACTGCAACCAACTTCACCACACATCATCTTTCGGAACATCACAGTCTCGGTACGTTTTTTCCCCCTCATCCAAAATTCCAAATTCCGATCTCCCCTTTTCTTTTTTCGTTTTCTCTTTCCCGCGTTTTTCTTTCTTCTTCTTCCCCCTTTCGTTAATTCGACTCCGCCGCTAACTAATCCACCAACATCCCGACAGAAACCACAGTCACAATGGGTGAAGCTTCGATCACGGAATCCAACTGGCGCCTCGTCGAGGTCGGCCGTGTCGTCCTCCTCCAGGGTGACAGCCCCTACGCTGGCCGCCTTGCCACCATCGTCGAGATCGTCGACCACAAGCGAGTACGTTCATTTTCCAAGGAATTGTTGGCAGAGGAATCCCGCGAAGGAGGATGGGGTGCGAAAGTTGGACAAGGAAATGGGGAAACAGAATTGGTGAAAGAGAGAGCAATGTTTGGTTGACATGAAGTTATCGCAGGTTCTCGTCGACGGACCCGCCAAGGGCGCCGAAGTCCCCCGCCACGCCGTGAGCCTCTCGCGGTGCCTCATCTCTCAGCTCGTCGTCGAGGGCCTACCCCGAGGCGCCCGCGGCCCCACCGTCCAGAAGTTCTGGGAGAAGAACCAGATTGACGCCAAGTGGAAGGAGACCAACTGGTTCAAGCGCCGCCAGCAGATCGAGCGCCGAAAGGCCCTTACCGACTTCGACCGATTCAAGCTCATGAGGCTCAAGAAGCAGAGGAGGTTCGAGGAGCGTCTCGTGCTCGCCAAGATCAGGGCCAAGGCGTAAACTCCATTCTCTTCGTTTAAACTTCTCGACACTTTTCCAACTCTTTGGACGCGATTGGGTGGAGGGGGGGGGGAAACGTCGGATACTTTGCAACATGTTTTCTTTTTGCCGGAACAGCGAAAAGAAAATTAATCGAATATCCTTTTCTTTTCCCTTAACCACGCGCGCGAATAAAGGGGAAAACACACAAAATTATGGGGGGAGGCGTTAAAGCAGTGGATGAAAGGACAAAGCCTGGTTTTTAGATGGGTCAGGACTGCATCGGCATGGCAACGCAGGAGTTGCCTGCTTCTCGTTTAACTCCCGTTTTGGAAGGCTTTGTATGTCATATTCATCACAGATGAACGGCGTCAAAACGGCAAACAAGAGTCATGAAATTCTGCGTTACAAAAAGGAAAGCGGTTAAACACAACTACGGTATATGGATGATTCCCAATTCGTGAGCGGCGTATGCAACGCCTGTTTTGAAACCCAATGATCCTTTATGTTTGTCCCTTGCTTGACCGCATTCATGCTCCCCTCTTCGGCATTCTCACTTCGTAGTAAATGGTGAAATCAACCGCGACGATGAGGTTGGCTCATCAGAGTGTGCTTACATAATGACCACTCTTTTTGCTGTGCAGGAAGTGGGTGATTCACTGCATGGCAAAGCAGTGCGAAAGTACGTACCCAAGCCCTAGATTTTTTGGCATTTGGGAACATAGTTTTCAACCATCACCTTCAACCCCAAACTAACCCCGTCCATTGAAAACGACGTAACGGCTCTCTCCCAAGCCAACCTCCATATCTCCGACTTCGTATCCGGTAAGCGTCCCTTGCATCGGGAGCCCAATCATGGAAGCAGACCGTCAATTGCAGGCCCCCATGTCATCTCGGCCTGAGTTCAATTGATCGTAAAAATCCGAAGAGCTTTTGGTGCGGGCGGCAGGGTGGAAGTTGATGGCTGCAAACAGAAAGGGAATATCGGGGGAAAAACGAGAAGGAGCGCAATTTCGAGCTAACCAGACGAATTTTTGCAAATTTTCTACAGAAAAATCCTCCTTTTAAATACCATCCAACATGGCGAACCCCCGCGTCGAGGAGCTCCCTAGCGACGAGCCCACTAAGAACCCCACCGTCGAGGAGCAGGAGGACGACGTCAGCGAGGATGAGTCCGAGGTCGAGGAGGCCGGCGGTGATCTCCCTGCCGGATCTACCGGTCTCGTTCTCTCCCGTAACGAGAAGAAGGCTCGCAAGGCTATCGAGAAGCTTCACTTGACCCGTGTGCCCGGTATCACCCGTGTTACTCTCCGCCGACCCAAGAACGTGAGTGTTTCATTCCGAATGGAGGATTTGGAGATTTGGCGTGGTTGCCGGCTCTCGAATGAGCGGGGGAGAGGAGATGCTGTCGCGTGGGAGGGGTTTAGTTAAGGAACCGGTTTGCTAATGCGGCTATCTTTATAGATCCTCTTCGTCATCAACCAGCCCGAGGTCTACAAGTCGCCCAACAGCAACACCTACATGTAAGTGGACCTGCCCAAGTCTATGGATTTAAGACCCTTCTTACTTGGAATGCGATATCTACGCTGCCGCCGATCTATCTTACTCGCATAATGGGGGGCAAACCTGTCTGCTAACATAAGGAAATTCCAGTGTCTTCGGCGACGCCAAGATTGAGGACATTAACGCTGCCGCTCAGCAGGCCGCCGCCGCCCAGCTCTCCCACGCCGCCGCCCAGGAAGACCACACCGGCCACAACCACGGCGAGTCCAGCAAGGGCAAGGAGGTAGCCGAGGACAAGAAGGACGAGGAAGACGAGGAGGAGGTCGACGCCGATGGCATCGAGGACAAGGATATCGAACTCGTCATGACCCAGGCCAACGTCTCCCGAAACAAGGCTATCAAGGCCCTCAAGGAGAACGATAACGATATCGTCAACTCTATCATGGCTTTGAGTATCTAGTACTTGTAGGACCGGGGTAGGTTTATGTGCTGGATCGGAAAGGGCGTGGATTTCAATCGTTTGCGTTGAAACAAAAATGGAATTTCAGGCTGAGGAAAACAGCTGTATTTGGTTTTTAGTTACCTTTTTCTTTTCTTTCCTTGGTCTTTTCCTCGTGAAGGTATAGAAATCATGGAGAATAAAAAAAGGACCGTGTCTGAAGACCGGTTGAAACCATCCTTTTGGCCTTGCTGCTCGTCTGTAAATGTGACCATGAACATGACTAAGGCCAAACCAGTTCCTGAGGATATGGCTAAACGCATTCAGATGGTGCCATGAACGGTTATTTGCGTCCTTCAGGGGTAGTCACATCAGGTAAAGTCCAAGGTCACAGTAGTCGTATCTAGAACGAAGATTGAATGTAAAGTATCCCATTCACCATACAGGCAATATCCGAGCTCTTCCCGAAGAAAACGAACCGTCAATGAACTGCCGCGAGTTATGCAAACCCCTATATTAAACCCAAAATCCAAGATCCGAAAAAGCCAGACTTCGATGAAACGGAGGTGCGGAAACATATGATCGCAGCGCGTGCCATGAAGCGTCGCCCAACGCCCAGAAACAAAATGATGCAGAACCAGAAGAATGCAAACACAACATCTACCCATCTACCCAGTGGCGAATATGCGCCGTACCCCCTAGAGGAGGGAGTTTAATGCAAAGTAATTTGGGGGACCCCGGTAACGGAGGTTGTGGTGAGCCTCATCAGGAGGACGCATAGATGCGGAACTGAACAAAGATAATGCAGTCTTCGACCATAGTGCCAAGGGAGCCAAGGAGCCAGGGTAACGCGGTGAGAAGATACTTGGGGTCCTGGGAATAAGAGAGGAGGCTGAGCCCGTACGTCATGTTTCCGGTGAGGGAGAGCAGGAAGAAAAGCAAGGCGAGCCCTAAATAAGCATAAAGGTTAGAATATTCCGGAAGAAGATATGTTGCGGAAGTTGTTTAACAGTATGTCTCACCTTCGCACGACTTGTCACGGTAGTTCTTGATAATCTGAGGAACTCGGGCGCTAGAACATCAGGTCAGCTTCATTTCCAGGCATCGCAGAAGCTTACAGGTAAGAGCAAACTTACCAGAGATAGCACAGAGCGCTGATATAGCCCAAAACACTTCCAATCTGGTGCGTGGGCTCATCTTCAGGAACGGCAGGCGACTGGCCGGGGCTGGCCCCTGTGTCCCAGGCACCAGCCTTGTAGGAGATGAACCACCCTAGGGCGCCAACGGTGTAGACAGCGAGCAAGCTAATGCTATTATGGAGCCAAGGGTTACTATCGGGGGTCTCATCCTCTCCGGTGACCACTTTCCGGAGCGGCTCGAGACTCGACTCATGATGGGTCGAGTGTCGGCGGTACGACCCGGGGAGGCCCAAGGACGTGCTTCGTCGTCGGGCAAGGAGGGGAGAGTGCTCGGTGGAGTCGGGCGAAATGGTGTCCTCTCGAGAAACTCGTCGACCACGGGGACGGAGGGCAGCGCGGGCGTTCTTGGCGTTGTAGTAGGCGACCTGGCTAATGAGGATCAGGTCGGCCATGCAGAAGTAACTCGCCAGGGCGATCGCGGTGGGTGCTAGGTTCGTAAAGAGAGCGCCTGTTTGGGATTCCCCGCCAGTTTGTTAGTCGACTCTCTTCTATGAACCATCCTTCCCTATCTCGAGCCGTGTGCGCCGAACTCGGCACACAAGGTGACACAAGGGACCTCGCCCGTCGCGGGCTCATTTTGGGACGGATTGAGTAAAGTTAGCAACGCACCGGTTAAATTCGAAACATCACCGAGGAGCCAGATAAACAGGAATCCCATTGACAGAGCATCTGCTCGCTGGGCCTTGTAGTTGGTGATGAGTTGTGGGAGCTAGGGCGGATTCGAGTATGATGTCAGCGTCATTGTCACGCGCAACTTGGGATTTGAGAATTTTGAGTTCATCCCACTAATCATCGCCATTCACTATCGCGGCGTCCCCGATCCACCAAAAATTAACTTATCGCAACGAGGAAATTTTAAAACTTACCAGTAAGCAAATCCATGCTGTCAAACTAATGCTTCCAAAAATACCAGAAAGAGCCTCGTCAAGAGTAGGCGGCTTAACGAAGGCCGCGATGCTGGGTAATACCATCGTCGAGGGTAAGGGCCTTGCAAGGACCGCGAGCAAGGGTGAATTCTGAGAGAGGCAGAAGGCTGTCCTTAAAGGGGCATGGGCAAACGAGACAATCGGATAGGTTCGAGGAGCGAGAGGCCCAGAGTAAGAAGATCAAGGGTATTTAGCTAGAAGAGAGGAAGAAGAGGAGAGGAAACAAGAAATCGAGGAGGGAGGCAGAGAAGTGGTCACCTGCGCAGATAGGTAGAGTCATCCAGGGCGGGAGTTGGAGAGTTGGAGATTGCAAGGGTTTGTGTGGGAGGCGTTGGTGTGTGGGGTAAGAAAGAAAGACCCTTGCAAGCGCAAAGAGCCTGTGCTTGCGCTGCTCGTGCTTTATTCTGGCAAGTCCAAGTCGCGCGGCGGGACTGATAAGAAAGAAGAACGGCTGCCGAGTGGCTGGCTAGGCTACGAAGAAGTCTGAACACTTGGGGTCTTTTCGACGGACAATCGGACTTGAGTGCTCATCTGTCGAGAAGTTGTACCTTTCAGCAGCGAGTATTGAGTATTGATACCATAATCGGGAATAAGAGACTTATCATAGGCCACGCGATAAGTGCAAAAGTGGTGCCCAGGCAGGCTTGGCTTGTCCTTTTTGGTGGGAGCCAATCCGACCGAGACCGGCACCACTGATAAAGTCCAGAGACAAGGGCTGGCTAATCCTCCGAGACCACTTTTGCCACTTGCACAAGAGAACATCCAATATGCACCGAGTGCATCTGAACTATGCGTAAGAGATGGGCATCTTCGATGTATTCTCCCGATGCGATACTAGTTAGCAACGTCGGGGAATGACCATGAGTACACGGAGTCTTGGAGTCTTCAGCGATTTACAAGATATCCAAAGTAAACACATTTGATCCCACAACTTTTCCCCATGATTGACTTCGGCATTGACTCAGAGTGCCTCACACTTAAAATCTCCGATTGAGTTCGCGATCACATAATCTCGATACGATCGCAACATGTTCATGTTGATCCCCAGTTTTATTATGCAGCACCACCCGCACCAAACCCGGATCCGAACTTGCACAAGTAAAGTTCTCTTCCCGCCAATCTTGTCAAAATCTGGAAGACCCTTCTCGGAAGGCCGGTGACTGGTGACTGGTGACGTGATGACGACACGGCCGGAAAGGGTCCTGCAGGCTCTCCACACGACCACCGCGACTGGATAAAAAGGGAACCGCCAGAACACAATTGCACACCACTGAGGCTTCACGTGGGGCCGCCATGCGCCATTCCTTGGAGCTGAGGTCCTGTGCTGCCTTCTGACAACACCAACTGAACTGCACCCCATGCACCCCACGCCCGTCAGCAATCCTAGCTGCGGCTCCACGTCAGAGAAGCCTGAACTCTAACTGGTGATCGTCTGGTGCCTGTTCCTCCAGCAACTCTGCGCGGCCGCTTGACAAGGCCAGCTCCTCTATCACAACTCACCCAAGGATTCCGACTCGTAGACGACAGAATCTTTGTTTTTATTTTTGCCTTTTTGGTCCTCTTTGCGAAAACCTTGTTGTTCTTGGATAATCATCAATCGTCGTATAAATATTTCGCGACGCGCCAATATCTCGAGCCCTCTTCCAAAATCAAGCCATAACTAGCTACCCCAAGCTGTCAGGTCTCTTTGATCGCCGACCATGAGGCTCTCTTCCGGCCTCCTGGCACTCGGTGCCCTCGGCCTACCACAGGCTCTCGCCTGGGGAAGTATGTTAAAAATCACCAGAACCCAGAAGGCATTCCCGAAAGGCCCCTTTAGCTAACAAAGAATCCCTTCAAGGTCTGGGTCACATCACCACCGCCTACCTCGCCTCCGAATTCGTCTCCAACACCACGGAAGCCTACCTCAAAGACCTCCTCTACAACGAAACCTCCGACTACATGGCCAACATCGCCACCTGGGCCGATTCCGTCCGCTACACCCGCTGGGGCCGCTTCACCAAAACCTTCCACTTCATCGACGCCAAGGACGACCCGCCCCGATCGTGCAACGTCGACCTCGAGCGCGATTGCAAGGAGACCGGCTGCGTCGTCACATCGCTTGCGAACTATACCCAGCAGTCTCTCGATGCCTCTTTGGGGTGGCCCGACCGGAATATTGCGGCCAAGTTTGTTATTCACTTTATTGGCGACTTGCACCAGCCGCTACATAACGAGAATGTGGCGAGGGGTGGGAATGGGATACATGTGCTGTGGCATGGCTCGGAGGTGAATCTCCATCGGGTGTGGGATAGCTCTATTGCTGAGCAGTGGGTTAATGGGAGGAGGAGGGGAAAGCCGTTTGAGATGGCGAAGAGGTGGTCAGAGCAGCTCGCTCGTGAGATTAGGGAGGGAAAGTACGCTGCGCAGAAGGACGCCTGGCTGAAGGATGTCAATATTGATGATGTTGTCGGCACGGCGCTTACTTGGTCGAGGGAGTGCAATGCTTACGTCTGTTCTCATGGTGAGTATTTTCTTTATCCCTACATCCCGATTTAGTTGGATGGGGGATAGGTGGCTCGACAAAGTCGGAGCTTGATGCTAACCTCTTCATCTCTTATCTAGTATTCCCTGAGGGCCCCGTCGCCATCCAAGGCAAAGAGCTATCCGGTGATTACTACGAGCGCGCCGCTCCCGTCGTGGAGCTCCTCGTGGCACAGGCCGGTTATAGGCTTGCTGCCTTCCTTGACCTCATTGTGGACGGTTACCTCGAGAAGACGAGCCATGGCAGCGCCAGCAGCAATGTCATCTCAGAGGAACTATAAGATGGAGTTCCGATTTTCTGGATTTTTGATGAAAGTTTTGGATTTCTTTTGACACGGGCATGTACAAGTCAGGATCACTGCTAGGATATAATTTATTGCAACAGGTATAGAGACGACAATGATGAAGTCAGCACTTGGCGCAGTTGCCATACCATAGAACTCAATGTTCAGATCTCACGATAATCCCATTACCCAATTCCAGCGATGTTGGAAAAGTATGCATAACACTTGATAGTAGAAGCCCTCTGTTTCCGGGCTTCGATCTACTACAAACGAGCAAGTCGATCATGTAGAACACCCCACAATAAGCTGATCGACGGGGTGAGAATCAATGTCGCTATCGATTGCCCTTCCGGCCAGCCGGATGATGCGAGATCGTTCGCCATAAAAAAAGGCAATGAGCCGGAACGAAACGTGAGGATCATTTTTTTTTTTTGTCGGCAGCACTTGCTGGTTTTCTGGGATAAAATATAGAAAATCCAGAGCTGTGAAATATCACAAACATTCAGTGTTTTGAGAGTGAACATACGTTTGGCATTCTCCGTACGCAGCCTTCGTTCAAAGGGCAGTTAGAGGGAAGGAATAACACCGAATCCCACACCCTCCTATACCATTAACCTCAGGGAGAAAAATTAACACAATAAATATAATCTATTGCACTGTGAGATTCTTTTGCCAACGAAAACCAGGATTCTGAAGCTGTGACCTTCTCATGAGATCCTCAAAGATTTGGACGCGCCGGGGTTGGGCAGGAATCCTCCTTCACGTTTCTCTTTTATTCGTCTGGCTTTCTTTCAACTTGAACGTTTCACTATGTTCCAAGAAGAGGGAGGAATCGAGTTTGCAGATCGGCGAGGATGATTCCCTCGTACTCGTGGTCCCCGAGTCCTCAATCGGTGAAAGGGACAAGGGCAAGGCAAGAGGGGGCTCCAATCTCATCTCTTTTTACGTTACAGTAGCAGTAGAGCAATCTGACAGCGGTCTTTAGCGAGGGGCCGATATGTAATAGTTGACAATTATTTGTCTTTTCTCAAACCTGTCATGTGGGGATGCAAGGTTTAGGAGTGAGAGGGAGAAGAGTGTGCCTGTGTCCAAGGGCAAAGGTAAACTTCGTTTCATACCCGTGGGCTCAAAACACGAGGTTTGTATCAGACTGGACAATGCATCCTGGTTGCAGATACCCTGCTTCGTTACTCACAGAATCCCACGTTTTTCTTGTGTCTTCCAAGGGCTGAGAGAATAAGGGGCTTGTCTCTCCTTTAGCTTAAAATTTGCAAGGCAAGAAGAAATCGGGGAAAGAGAAGGGTTTGTTCCAAGGTGCGACGAAACCTTGTTCTCCTGGTCGGGTCTGCACTTAGAGTTTCGGGCCGGCGAGCAAGGCGGACGGGGGATCGAGATTGAAATCACATCAAGAGAAGGGGTCTTGGGAGATATGTGATCCGGAAAAGACGGGATTTTGCAGCTAAAGAATCAACTGATATCGAGGAAGTTGATGCATTGAGAAGGGTAAAAAAAAAGAAAAAAAAAATACAACTGCAACCGGATATAATATATAGATCGACATGAGTGGTAAACATCAACAATGTTCTCCGTTCCAGAGGACAGAGACGATCAATCTGGAGAGAGCCGTTTAGCCAGATCGACGAACAACATTGAGTGTATTGAAGTATTGAAGTGTCATTGATAACGTGAGGGCGGTGACGAAGTGATCATTGATAATTGATCAATCTATTGAGATAATCTCGACCGATTATCATGTCGGTACAAAACTACCTGCAGGGCTTCTTCCATACACCGAAGGAGAAATCTGGCGCTCTCCATGCTGGTGGGAATTTTTCAGCATTAAGATTCGAAACGAGAACAAAGAACCCTTATCCGATTGTAATCCGTCTGTGCTTGAGGAAAGACTAGATCGATAAACTCCTTTCGACGTCGGAGCAAATAAGCTCCGGAGACGTACAAAGTCGGGTGAAGCATGACATGCTCTATATTAGAACTAGAAGCGCCAGAAGCAGCCATGTTGCCGGCTTTTACGGAGGAAGCCTCAAAGCTTGAAATGGGTGGGTGGACCGGCGGGGCCTCAGTCTGAACTTGAAGCAAGCACCAAAATATGGTTAATTCCCTTCGCTCTCGGAAGTCGGATAACTGGAGCTAAACCACTCCTAAAAATTCGAGACAGCTGTCATCCCTCCGTGGGAGGGCTTGGACAGCCTGCCCTCCATCCACTGGCCAATTGAAGGATGACATGGGGTGCCCGGTCTAGGCCCAAACACTTCGGCCGAAGCTCAGAAGGCCCTGCCAAGGCCCCAGCGTCAACCAACACCAAGACAGAAACATGTCAATGCTGAAGAATCAACTCTGGGAGGCCATGTCCAGGCCGTCCGTCCACTGTCGCATTCGACTAGCACTTCAGACAAGGAACAGAAATCCTGGGATGGGCTGCAGGAGGAGCGATGTACGAAGTAATAATCAGACTCTCCCAAAAGGGACATCGAGATTCCAATCCCTTGTTTTTCTCATCCCGTGTTGCTGGGTGGCCGTGGATTCTCTTTCTAACTGGAAATGGACTCAACGGATAAGGATGGGACGAGAAATTACCAGTTGACATAGCCTTCAATGGGTGCCTCCGATTTCTCAACCACGGAAGAGCACTGGGGAGGCCGGCATAGATGCAGCTCATAGTAGTAGAGATGATCTGGTGGCAGTGAAGAGGATTCCCAGAGAGCATAGATCGAAATATAGTGAACCGGGATGCACACACCACAATGTCGCCGGAGAAAAAAAAAAAAAAAAAAAAAAAAGCCTCAATATGAGAATTCTACGGAGTGCGCTCATCTATGATATCATCTAAGAGGACCAAATACGACCAACAAGCGAGCGAGGCCCGACCCAGAAATCATCTCCTGAGATTGCCTTTTCGCTAACCTGGCAGCTGGGACGGAGGAAGCAAAGAGCAAGGGAAAGGGGGGAAGAGAGAGAAAATATGGCAGGAACACCATATCACCAGCGGGGGATTGACGAGAAAAGCGTTTGATGTTCACACATCATTCAAGCAATTAAGTGATGAGAAGCCCTCTTCTCCCTCCCTTAACCAGGTTCTGACCGTGTAAGTCAGAGGAAAGTGCCACAGTGAATAGTACACGAGAAACTGTCCAACGCACTGGGCACAGAGATACTTCGTAAAATACAGTCCTTGCGCGCGCTTACATTGGCAGGTTCAATGGAGGAGGTTTTCCAACAGAAAAGGCGGGACCCGCAACTGGCAGGGGGGAAAGCGGCAATTGCAACCTCGTCCTTGCCGCTCTCGGATAGTGCTTAAATGACCCTTGTCTCGGCTCGCTTCAGCAGGCAGGCTCCGAAACTGACATGTGCCTGATCTCCACATTTTAAGCTCTGCCATTGGCTGCTGATGAGACCTGCGACACGACGAACGTCAGGCACAAGGGAGCCGCAAACTCTGCGACGATCAGTGAGGCTTGCTCTTTCCCTTGACTGGGTGAATAATCCTCCCCTTTCCCCTCGCCTTGGAGCTTTGAAGAAACCCTTGCCGACTCTTCCTTGTTCCCCAAGACCCTATCCCAACCAACGACAAGCATGAAAACACTCAATTGAGTTCAGTAACCAATGGACAGTCGCCCCTTTGGCCGCCAGAATTCCGAATCCCCACTAGAGAGTTTCGAGATTCCCGCTACATGGGGATTGCATCAGGGGGTGTGGTGATTCCTGCAGACACCCCCTTGGTAATGATTGATGCCGACTTTCCTAGCTCCGCCCCGGCTCTCCTCGCCCCAAAAAGATCGCCTCGATATGCCCATCGCTTGCGGTCTGCCAGCGGACCAGGCCCAGCATCGATGACTTTTGCGCATCGCGAAAATCCCATGCCGTGCCAGCCCCCATGAACGAGCAATTTCCCAGGTCCACCAGAATGGATTGCCAAGATGGGCATCTCACGACGGTCGCTTGTTGCTCTCACCAGTGATCAGTGATGAGCGCATCGCCCCTCTGGATCTCTGGTAAGTGGCCATCACCAGCTGCATCACAGATTCCCAAGGAGAAGGCAGCATTTTTTTTTTCTTTTACAGAAAAGCGGATTAGTATCTGTCAATTGAACATGGTGGAGGGGCAAATAACCATAAGCATTTTTAAGCATTTCTCTTCACATCGTCTTAATACACCTCCGCTTCTTCCTCCGTCTCCACGTCTTGCTCCTGTGCACTCTTTCGGCGCAAGCCATGGTAGCCATGATGCCTGTCCTCATCCTCCGCTTCCACCTCCACCTCGCCTCCATCCACACCCCCCTTTCTCGTCCCCATCCCCTGTAACCCATGTTTTGGAACCGTGGAGACCTTCTCCTTTTCGGCCTTCCCTCTGAGCCCCAATCGCCGTTCATGACGTTCCCTGCTCTGGAACCGGGGCTGCAACCCAATCTCCCTCAGTACGTCAGGACGGAGTCGATGGAGTCGATCCCAGATCCCACGCTTGCTTGGCTCAACCTGTCATCCTTGCCCCGGCGTCCCTGAGCGCAAGACCCACCCCTGTCAGGATGAACGTCCGTATCCACCCAGAACCATTGACATCTCTTGACTATTTGTCTCCGGGCATCCCCTCTCGCCCTCTTAACCTTCAACCCTTTCTCGACCTCTACCGTTCTTTCTCTTCTTCTTGACATCGCTTCGGCAATTCTTTTCTCCCTTTAACCTTCTCTTGCTGGGCAATCCTCTTTGTTAAACGCTGGTGGTGTTTCCTACTTTTTACATTCGCTCCTTCTATAAGCTGGAATTACACACTTGAACCACCATCGAGTTGGATCCAGGTGCTTCTCTTCTCAACATTCCTTGAAGCCGATATTTTCGAACATTTTCAACGGTCTGGAACCACTTTTACTTTTTTTTTTTTCTCTTATTATTATTCCTTTCTAGCGAACACCGGTCGCCTACTTCATTGTTATTACAAGTCTTCTCTCCCTCCGACTCGATTGGTAAAGTAAAAAGTCAAGATGCTTCCCAAGCACGTTCTTCTCGCCATCCTCGGCGCCCTCACCGTTGCTGAGGCTTCGGTCATCCACTACGATTCTCCTATTGCCAAGACTCTCGCCCGACGACAGAACCGAGGTGGAAGGGGAGGCAACCGAGGCGGAAACAATGGTGGCAATAACAATGCCGGCAACCAGAACAATGGCCAGGACAACGGCCAGAACCAGGGCGGTAACAACAACGCCGGGAACAACAACCAGGCTACCTGCCTCCAGGACAATGTTATCCAAGCTGCCTCGGCCAGCACTGGCCAGGGTGATATTACGGAAGACGGCCAGGCCGCCTCTGCTACGTAAGTTTCTCTATCCCTTTATCGGAACTTCAAAATGCCGACCCCGGTTACTAATGGAACGCAGCGATGACGCCAACTTCATCAACTTCTGCGCCGGCGAGACCCTGACCAATGGTCAACAGGTCCAGGGCGGCTCCTGCAACGGTATCGTCATGGGCAAGATCCCTGCCACCAACAGGATGATCAGCAGCATCATCCAGAACCCTCAGCCCGGTCAGACCATCCAGGAGAACGAGACGTTCGACATTGTTGTCAACACCCAGAACCTCGCGGCCGGATCCTTCACCAACCCGCAGGAGACGTACTACTCGGCTCCTCAGGATCTCGACGGCCAGGGCCGTATCATCGGCCACACCCACGTTACCGTCCAGGACCTCGGAAACGACCTCGCGCCCAACAACCCTCCCGACGCGCAGCAGTTCGTCTTCTTCAAGGGTATCAACGACGCTGGCAATGGCCAGGGTATCCTCTCGGCCACGGTCACTGGTGGTCTCCCCGCCGGTAACTACCGCGTCTGCACGATGACGGGTGCTTCCAACCATCAGCCCGTCCTCATGCCTGTCGCCCAGCGTGGTGCCCAGGATGACTGCACCAAGTTCACCGTTGGCAATGCCAATGCTGGAAACAATAACAACAACAATAACGGAGGCAACAACAATAATAACAACGGCGGGAACAACAACAACAATAACGGAGGGAACAACAATGGCGGCAACAACAACAATAGTGGGTCTAACGGCCAGAACGCCGGCAATGGCGGGAACGCTAACGGCCAGCAGAATAATGGCAACAACCAGAACGCCGGCCAGGGCGGCCAGGGCGGGGACCAGGCGACCGGCGGCGCCAACAACAACGGCGGAAACAACCGGGGCGGGTTTGGTGGGGGCTTCAGGGGCAATGGAAACAACGGCAACAACGCCAATAACGGAAACAATGCCAACGGTGGAAATGCCAACGGCGGAAACGCCGCCGACAATACTGACGGAAACAATGCCGATGCCGGCAACACCGGCAATGCTGGCAACAACGGAAACAATGGAAATGCCAACAACGGAAATCAGGGCGGTGGCTCGGGTGGTGCTAGTGCGGCAAGCGCCCTGGGAGGCATTGCCGCGCCTGCGGTAGAAGAGGGCGGAAACAAGGACAGGCCCTTCTCAGTCAATGGCAACACATTCGTTAACAAGGCGGCAGCAGTGCAACGGGCGTGCGACGTTCAGAACAACCAATGCGCGAACGCGGTCAACGGCGGGCAACTTCAAGGAGTGAACGTCGGCGACTGCGGTGCCCAAGTCGCGAAATGTGTTGCGGAGCTCTCATAAGGAAGACACCGATGCCCTCGCCAAGGAACGGACATCAGACGAAAAGGTTCTTGCTCTTTTCCACCGCCGAATGTCTTGTACTTAACAACTCTATTCAGAGAGAGAGGGTGGGAAATGGTTTTCTTTTATGAGCTGTTCGGTTTACTGTTTCTTTTCTTTTCGTTTATGCATGGTCGAGCCTTGACACCCCTGGGGCTCTACAATAGCATGGGCAAATGTGGGTATCTAATCCGCTGCCGCCCATTTTTTTCGTTTTCCGGTATTTTTCGTCGTTTTGCAAGCAGCCATTTCCTTTATCAATTTCCTATGTCTTTTCCGTTTGAGAACCTTAATGTCCTGGGTTTTTCGACGTCGTTGTACATTTAGAAGAAGGAAGGAGGAAGGACTGGTAGATCGGGCCAACTGGTTCTTGTCTGCCTGGCCTTCGAAAGGTAGATAGTCTGAGACGCCTTCCTTTTTGGGTGGTAAAAATAGGAGACATACACTTCCAGCAAAAGACGGTGGTTGATTGGTTCTATTGTTCTAGTGTTTGTGGATGTTTATGTGTACTTGCGGTTTACGGCAGATGATATATGAATGTGATGAGGTCTTTTGACATAGCCATGCGTGGTTTTGTGTGTGTGTGTGTGTTCCTGGAGTTTCAGTGTAAGTCACTCAACAAGAGAACTCACACCATCCAGTACCCAAGTACCTCGGTAGTGCACGCAACAGAGCGAATATGACACCCTGATTCACCGCGATGAAGGGACAGGCGATTCCAGGTAGCGGAGGACTAGGCGGTCCGATAAGAAGAAGACCGTGGCCTGGCTATTCAAGTCCCCATACCACCGTTTCGGGGCGGCGGAGGACAGTTCATGCGGTGGGGACGCAACACAGACCGGGGTTTCGGAGGTTAACAGGACAAACCTCCAATGAGAGATGGTCTCTCCAGTTGGACCGCTGATGTCAAAGGAAGTGTCTGGGTGGAGAATTTGACAAATACTAATTGATTGAGTGTCGAACAATGTTGAACGTATGCGCGGGCCTTAGTCTGGTGTAAGTCGGCGGTTAACGAGGGGTGAGGTTTTGGTTGGATGTGAGTAGATTTCTGGTGAGACGTCGAAGAGGAGATGTTCTGATCCGGGTACTAAAAATAGGCCGGCGGATAGATGTTGACTGAAGACGATACGGGACAAATGTCTTCTGGATTTGAATTATTGAGTTCGAATTGAGACATGTAGATGAAGTATTTTTTTGGTTGATAGGAGGCTGCCTGTTGCCATTTTCTTTTCCACTCAGGATCAATTATTAATGAATTGATGTCTCTTCCGAGCCTCACGTCCACTTTCCCCCGGATTAACGCCCGGGAAGGAGATCTCGGTAGACGGGAGGGGTGTCTAGAAACAAGAACCTGGCTTGTAACCGTGGGAGATTGATACCACATCCGGGCTGGGTGTGTGTGTGTGTGTCCCTTGAGACGTAGGGAAAGGGTTGGGAGTTTCGGCAGAGTGTGAGAGCAAGGCTGGATTAATTGCGAAGTAGAGGATCGGGGTTTTGGGTACGGAAAAGCGTTTATCCCCTTTCCTCCTTCTCTCGTCTCTTAGTTTCTTCAATTCTACCAGCTTACGATCGACGAGGCCGAGGCGAGGCGACTTAATTAGAAGTCCCGGAGTCCAAGACGAGAGAAGTTGTCAGGGAAACGCTTGAGCCCGCCCAGGACCGGCTATCGCCGTGAACGGCAAGAAAGTGACCGGATTCTTTTTGTTGCCTCGTCAGAGATGTCTATCCCCCAAAATCCTCCAATGGCATGCGGAGCAGCGTCTAGTCGAGATGGCTCCATTGCGCCCAGCTCCACGCGGGCGGTTCTCTGCAGTCATGGAAGCGCAACACCGCAGATGTCTGATGGTCACCACTTCTTCTAGAGCCCATTACCAGTGAGGCAGTGGTGCTTGGAGCGAGTCCCCTAGGATATAAAAAGAAGGGCGGAATAATGGGGGAATGGTCTAATACTGTTGGGGAAAGCACAGGGCAGTCGAGAAAGCCGAGGCTGCTGGTCGACGGGAGCAACATACAGAGCAGGCAGTTTTGGGCCGCTAGTCAAGAAGATAAGGCCGACCTTTATGGCCTTTACTGCGATGTGGCATTGCGATGGCAGTTCTGAGGTGATGGAAGACCTGCCATCCGATTAAGAAGAGCATCATATAGCACGGCCAGGATGGCGAACAGTTGGGAACTACTCCGAGAGCGAAACTGAACCCTCTGTTGAATCTATCGAACTCGCAGAGCAACCCCAGATGAGAGGAATATAAATATGATTGATCCATTTCCTGGAGTCGTACCTCGAGTCCTTAGGACCTCTTTTCGCTCTGTTGCTTTCCAAACATTCCCCCAAGCAACCTTCACGCAGCCATCGCCATCGCCATCGCCATCGCCACATCGTCCCCTGCATCCACCACCTCCTTTTCTGTTTTCGGCTCTCCTTCTTGGGCGCCAACATGCGGATCTTCTCCCGAGCGAGTTGGATCCTCGTGGCAGCCTACATCGGGGCCAGCGTCAATGCCAGCGTTGTGGAAGTGGATCTAGTTTTCCCCGCGCAATGACACACTCGCCGGCGTCGATGATGCCCATCGTCTTTGCTTCCCCAGAACATACAGAGCTCGCACAATATCTCAGGCCTTCCATTTCCTACGAGCTATGGAATCCGAACGGCTCCCGTTTGGAATCCGCGACTACTAACTTTGGTTCCCTGAAATGGGAGAACTGGTCCAGCCACGAGCCCTACTTCATCTACGAGTTCTGGAACAACACTTTTAATACCGAGGCTCCTTTGGTCGCTGACCTGGACTGTGTTCCGGGCTGGTTGCGATGAGGAATGGGATAAGGGCCCTGCTTCTTATTATGGCGGCTACCGCAGATTCGAAAGCTCCTCGCCGACTGTTATCTTTAACATCAAGAATGGTGCGCAGGAGGTGGATCTCGTTGCCGCGAAGGCCGACGACACCTGTCCTGCGGAACTAGGGGTTGCCATCAACGTCACCGATGAAACCAGGGAGGCTCCCAGCTGGGTGCTCCTGAGCGACTATGAGTAGGGTGTATCTCATCTTAAACCAGGGGGTATCTATTCTCCTTCTAAGATGATAAAACCAAATTTAACCCCTTCACGCCAGAGTGAAACCAAACGCCGCAAATGGAGCCACGAAGCCTGTCACACCCTCGACGGCCAGTCAGGCGGCGTTCCTATCGTCTTTTAGTGCGGAGTAGTGGCAGTAGTCTCGCGGGAGGAGGTCACGGCACCCGGGCTTAGCCCAAGAGTCATACATGCTTGCGGTAATGGCAGAGTCGACCTTGGCACGACAAGGACCCGGCGTGGGCGTGGGCGTGGGCGTGGTAGACACTACCACCGCACACATGTCAGCCTAGGCGGGAATCATCGGGTATCAAAAGTTGGACTAGCAACAGCGCGAAGATCTTGCCCGGGGACTTGAAGTGTCGTGGCCAGAGTCAGACTGCACATATCAGACAAAGTGACGACCCCACGTACCTGTTGAAAGAAGCCATGATGGTAAGAAGATGGTTTCCTTTCGAAATTTTGACTACTTGTTAACTTGGGAACTGGCGTAGTTATGTAGTGAACCAAGTTAGTTGTGGCCTTGGTGAGTTCTAGCCGCGGCGAGAACTGTCCATACCAGGTTCTCGTCCATACCGCGTAAAAAAGGGGCACCATACTGCCTTATGGTTAGCAATCGACGTCTCGGGTTAACACTCCTATCCTTCTAAGTCACTAGTAGCTAGACTGCTGAAGAGCGTGATCCGGTGGATTTGATCATTGGGAAGGGGGAATGCGGGAGGCGGTATTCTACTCTAAGTGTCGACTGTTAGACCCGGAGTGGAAGTGACGTGGCACCAACCGGGAGAAGTCTGCAGGACATTAGTTGATTTTCTTCTCCCTTTTGTAGCTGCCCTGCGTGTGGCAGTTCGTTTGGCGGGCAGGGAGAGTGAGAGTGTGTAGGCCGGGATTGACTTCTTTGTCACGGAGTGGGTTTTCACTTCTTCCCAACGCTAACCCTATCCATCTAATGCCGCACTGCTGGCTTCTTCCTCTATTTCGTTCGAGAGTAGAATGTTATCTCCAAGAGCACTTGGTTGTCAGCTTCCCTTGGCTGAGGGCACCAGCCTTGAGATATCAGGCTCGCGCAGAACCGGAAGGAGAGGCTCTTGCTACTAGTAGCTGCATATGCATATAATCGTCACCCATGCAGTCACCAAAATCTCGTACTCAGCCTTGTATGTATCAATAGAAAGCGAAACCGCCATCATGCCTGGTAGAGTACCGCGCATATGAAGATTCCGTACCTCGGTAAGCCGTGCCAGGTGACGTGAAGGACACAACGCAACCGTTCACAAGCATTAGCCAAGAAGGCGGCATCCATTATAGCATCCATCTTACCGACTAGCTCGGGTGAACTTCATAGACGGCAAATGTCTAGGAGTCGGGATGGATTGAGCTAATAGCCCACTTTCGCCAAGGGTAACGCCATGATCGAAGCTCCCACGTTGCCATCGACCTCAATTGGAAGCCTTATCAAACATGAAAAATAGTTTCTAAAGTACGGATACTCGAGCATTGAGCAGCGGGACATGGTGGGCGTGGGACGAAATGCCGTATGAGTCTTCGAAAGGGATGGGTAGTTTCCTGCCGAAGACTCTCCTCCCTGTTGACCGACTTTGAGTTTTATCGTGGGGGACCAAAAGAAAGAGTAGGCATTCTCCATGTCGAAAATTGAAAAAGAAAGAAGAAAAGAAAATGCCCAGGATTCCCAAAGGCCTCGACGAGCATCGATATCAATGAAAACATTCGCTTGGTGTTGTAGGGGCCGTAGTTGCGGTGAATCGACATCATTTTCCCGCAAACTCGAACCACCTTTCAGGATATTACTCAACATCCAATGCCCCAGACTATGCATCCCACGGTAGATGGAATAGATCCCTGTTTTCAAGGCTTTCGAACCATGATATCTTCGCCGAGGCATCGGGTGAGGTGAGCCAAGGTTGTGCGAGAAGACGATAATTGTGGTCGGAGAAGTCAATCAAGAAGTTGTGCTCCGATGGCCGGACACGTTCAAAGCAAGTTTGATCTAAATTGTTTGTACCCCGCCCCCACCATCTCCCACCATCTCCCACCGTCTCCCACCAAAGCGAATGCAATTGTGTGGCCATTTTGCCTCCGAGATCAACCAACCCGATCGAGTCTTTTTCAATCCTATGAAATTTTGACGACGCTCCTTCTGACTCACCAGAAATAAAAATAGCACTTTTAGGGGTCCTTTCTGGTATTTTACTTTCGTTTCGTTCCTGGAACCGATTTCGAATTGGGACGTTCTCTTAGTTCGGTCCATTGATCTATCCACACACGCAATCACCACCGAACCAAACCGGACAAGATGGCGACCCAATTTCCCACCAAAAAGTGCGGTACGTTCTCCTCCAATTCGTCTATAGGAATTGGGAACCGCCTCGGCCTAACGTTTCCCGCGACATAGGTGTCCTCGGCTGCACTGGCTCCGTCGGCCAGCGCTTCATCCTCCTCCTCTCGAAACACCCCTACCTCAAGCTCCACGCCCTCGGCGCCTCCTCGCGGTCCGCCGGCAAGAAATACAAGGATGCCGTGCGGTGGAAGCAAGCCTCGCCCATCGGCGACGCGGGCGAGATCGTCGTGAGGGAGTGCAAGGCCTCCGAGTTTGCTGATTGCGATGTCATCTTCAGCGGCCTAGACGCAGACGTTGCCGGCGAGATAGGTATGGGAAGAACAAACACCGTCCTCAACTCCTACATCGCTCTAAAACTCCTGTAAATAATGTGGGATGCGACCCTCACTAACACAACCCCCCCTTCGGACAGAAACCGAATTCCAAAACGCCGGCCTCGCAGTCTTCTCCAACTCCAAAAACCACCGCCAAGACCCCGACGTGCCCCTCGTCATCCCCACCGTCAACCTCAACCACCTCGACCTCATCCCCCACCAGCGCAAGACCCGCTCCCTCACCAAGGGCCTCCTCGTCTGCAACTCCAACTGCGCCGTCGTAGGCGTAGCCGTGCCCTTCGCCGCCCTGCAAGCCGCCTTCGGCCCCATCGACTTCGCCTCCGTCGTCACGATGCAGGCCGTCTCCGGAGCCGGATACCCGGGCGTCAGCTCCATGGACATCCTCGATAACGTCGTGCCCTTCATCTCGGGCGAGGAGGATAAGCTCGAGAACGAGGCGCGCAAGATCTTGGGTACCTTGACGGGGGATGCTACGGTGCTGGAGGAGCAGAGCGCGCTGCGCATCTCGGCTTCGTGTAATCGCGTGGCCGTCATGGATGGACATACGGCTTGCGTCTCGCTCAAGTTTGTGAGGCAGCCGCCGCCGTCGCCGGAGGAGTGTGTTGAGGTGCTGAGGAAGTATACTTCGGAGGCGAATGCGCTGGGGTGTCCGTCGGCGCCGAACCCGCCTATTAAGGTGTTTGATGAGCCGGATAGGCCACAGCCTAGGTTGGATAGGGATTTGGAGAATGGGTATACGGTTAGTGTGGGGAGGGTGAGGGGGGATGAGGCTGGGATTTTTGATCTCAAGTTTGTGTCTTTGAGCCACAACAGTAAGTTTTCTTCCGTCTTTCATTCTTACTTTTTTTTTTCTTTCTCTCTTTTTCTTCGTCGCTTCTGAAGGCCAAATATGGACCCTGCTATCCTGAGATATTTGAGCAAAAAGCTAACATTGGAATCGTAGCCGTTATCGGAGCTGCTGGCGGATCCATTGTCAACGCGGAAGCTGCCATCCTCAAGGGCTATATTCAGTAAGAAATCGAGAGATTAGGAGATCGAAGGATATTGATTGTAAATGTATCAACTACAACAAACTACACAAACTACACCGCTTGGCATCCCTTTCTATTTCCACCCATTTGATCCATCTCTGAGCGAAGATCTTCACCGAGACAAAACAGGAGGGCTTCAGAAATAAGCCATTATGTATCTAATCTACTTCAACAACAAGCCATCTACTTGCATTTGCAACTCCTACATCAACTACATCAGCCGTTGTGCTACGAGAATCGAACTTCAAGAACTTTGTTTCGCATCAATTGTGTTTCGTTTCGTTATTTCCAGGTATACCAAAGAGCTGGGCTGAGGCGATGAAGAAAAAGCTGAATATAGGCTTATTCTCCAGGGTGAGCCCACAGATGCCCCAGCCCTCATGCAACTCATCGGTCCCAATTTATATGTTTGGTCTTGGCGAAGAAAAGATGGTGGGGACGGAGTAGGGCTGAATGACAGCCGCTTGGCAAGCTGTCGATGTTGAACCCTCTCGCTCATCCCTTTTGCGTTTACACCTAGCCTGTCTAATGTGCAGGAAGATGGAGGAGGCTCGAAAATGAGGGAGAAGCAAATGGCAGATCAGCTCCTGATTTCTTCTTCTTGTTCTTTTTGTCTCTCAACTGTTATGGGACGCACCACTACTTCGTGCTGCGAAGCATAAAAAGTGACATCACTAAGCAAAGGACATCCACGGGTTCAATGACCGCCCTCGTCCCTGTCAACACGCCATCACGCATTTGGATGTCGTCTAAGCTAGACGGCAGCGAGTACTTGTAAATTTATGCGAGGCAGTTTACTCGTGAAACCAAACATCTGAGCGACAACTAATAATAGAGCCCCCCCTCTACTTCGTAAAGATCTTGCGAAAAGACGTCAATGACGTTTCGTCGTAGGAGCAGGTACCTCATACGAAGTACCAACAAGGTGATGGTTTGATCACGTGAGGGTGGTCAATGAAAGTATCGAAGCGCCGTCCCCGTGTTAAACTTCAGCGCCCTGGGCCCTGGACGCCCAGCTTCAGAGCGAAAATGGAGCCTGACGCGTCAGCACAAAAAAGCGTTTTGCCTCCCCCTTCTTTGGCCCCAATTGCCATCCCTTTCCAAAGAAAAAGTGGTCGCGTACTTCGTAGTCGGAGGTTTATAGCCTGACCGGTCTAGCATGCCCGCTAACTACGAAACGAGTAAAAAAAAAGATGATATGGATCTCGGTCCATCATTCGGCGACCAGGGTGTGAATTCAGTTTATATCTGCAGGTGGGAAGTGGAGAGTGTGGACTGACCGGGGGCATTGTTGGTACCTTACATTAAGTCGTTGAAAAGGGAGTTGATATGGGATGGAACTGGAAAACTGCCTTACCTTTTTGTTTCTTCTCGTTTTCATGGGGAAAATTAAATTACGAAGGGAGAAAAAAGAGCGTGAATTCCAACGGGTAGATACTCCGGTTTCCTCAAACAGTCTCGCCTCCAAAAACCGTATTAGCGGTCTCCCATGTCTTGATCAACTCTCACGACCCCATCAGTTGATGCAACCATTAAAACTGGGGACAGGAATTCCTGGATACGGAGCCCGTATTCATAAAGTGGAGGTACTCGCTACCTACCCCTCTAGTCGCGTTTCATCTTGGATAGGCGGGGGAGTTAGGGAAATTTAGTTAATGGGTTTCTTCTTGGGGGTTGTGCATGAAGTAGATGTACTTTTACCCATTTGCTAGTTATCCCCCTGGATAACTCGCCTCCATTAATCTGTTCGTATGGAAGGGAAAGACCTGACGGGCAAGTAAGTCATCATTAATTTCGGTGAGTCTGCGCTCATATCGATTAATTGTCGATAACCTGGTAACGGCGAATCCACAAATAACTACTCCTTCATTTACGAGTTGAGGCTGTGTCTAGATGGGCCTGAATATTTTGATCTGGCCCCCTTCCAACGTCAAGAGTCCCACCGCCTATCCTGCCGTGTTGTGTCCGTTGGATCACATCAGGATGAATGGTGCAGAGATGCGTATCGCCAGACATTTGAGGGATTGATCTTGTTGCCAGTACCGGTTGCATGTACCGATACGCCGGTTCGGAGAGGGAAGCGGGAGGAAGACAAAAGGCTCCCCGGTGTTTGAAGTGTCTTTGGTGGATACTGGAATGTGCGGAGTACTTCATACTTGTACTTGTACCGTCGACGGCGGCCTCCCATATCTTGTCTCACGTCCTGCAGGGTGTTTTTAAAACTTGCTCCCCTTGCCCGGCCTCTATGTTCTCCCTCGAGCAAATGGACCAGACGATTACCTCAAGCCTAGTCTTACACTGAGGCCTTTTTTTTCTTTTCTTTCTTTTCTAGCTAGCTAAATCTAGTAGATGCGAGACGAGACCTATAACCTTATACATCCCATCGCCGACTTCTTCCGTTTTGACTTTTTTTTCTGACATCTCCGAAACGGAAAACGGATTCCACACATGTTGTCACTTGGCCACCATCCGTCCATCCTCAGTTCATGTTCAGTGCGGGTCTGAATTGTTACGGCGCGACCTATGGGGCTGTGCGGATGACAAGACTTTCGCTGATCGACCAATTGTTTGCTTCTTGCCTCCACTTTTTGCTCGTCGGCACTGCGCCTACGGACCCCCGGTCTTTGGATGGGCCTGGCGGGTTCTTGGACACCTTTTTCTCCTCTTGAGTCTGCGGGTTGGTGCTTCAGCTGGGGAACTGGATGCGTGGGAGCAGGAGCGACCATGAGAAAATGAGAGAGCGAGAGAGAGAGAGATACTTCGTAGAGAGAAAACAGAAGACTTGGCAACCACATTTCCCCTCTCGACTTGATATCATTGATCCTTCTCATTCTCATTCTCCTTTTCCTTCCTATCACCAATCACGGAAACCACCCCTGTCCATCCGCTCCTCGGTGGCTCCCATCGTCACCCTACCATTTCAACATTTCGGCGCGGTTTAGTCAGGAAAAGGGAGCATGCCACAACTAGACTAGTCCCCCCTCGCCAATCGTGGGTCCGTCCGTTCCTCCATGGTGGGTTTTGTGTGTGTGAGCTTGAAGTGTTGTGCCAATGTGGGTGGGCTCCTCTCTCCTCCTCTCCTCCCACCCCCCAAAAACCAACCAGGGAAAAGAAAGCCAAGCCCATCAAGGGCCCAAAAAGCTGATTCGAACTGGGGGCCGCTTTCTTCATCTCTACCAGTCGTTTCATCCTCTTGTTTCTTTTACTCACACCACAACTCCAGCCTGGCATATCGACAAGACCAGACCAATCTTTCGCAACTCCGCCCTTTTTTTCGTCCAGTACAATTCCCCAAAAAATTTACCATAATTTTCATTTCTCTCTTTGTTCCCTTCTTTTGATCATCGGGGATTATCCTCTCTTTTTTACGTATTTATTTATTTCCTCCCTTTGGACACGCCGACAACGGATAAATCAGGATCAAATACGGCGAAACAGCGACCGAATTCCCTCATTCTCTCCGACCGGCTTGTCGTTGATCTGATCCAGCCATCGTGAAATCCTACCCGACGACTCATTTTCCCTCGATCCGTCGAGGGAGTGATTCCACTCCTGTCGACGAAAAGCAAGAAGGAAAAGAAAAAGAACAAATATCCTGATCGTTATACCAACTTATCCGATTCATTCGGTTTAACCTCCCCCCTAAAATCAATCCAAGATGGATTCACCGCCGTCGAACAACCCGAACCACCCCTCGAACCAACTCCACGATGCCGCTTACCCCATGTCCGATTACCAACCCTCCAACATAAATCCCCAACAACACACGCCAGGACAACCAAACCAAGGGTCAGGAAACAACGGAGAGACGAGTGCAAAATACACAGAAATCGCGACGCCAGCGTTAGCCCTCACATCTGGCCAGGCCTCGTCGTCATGGCACACCGCCGGCCCTTCACACCTCGATACCTCCCTCGACCCTCCTCCCTCCTACGAACAATCACAATCACAATCGCAATCCCGCCCTTCCACATCTAACCAACCATCCGCCGCCTCCAACCTCTCGATACCGCCCCCACTACCTCCCCCCTCGTCGATAGCCACTCCCAATTCACCAAACGCACCGAGCCTAAGTAGCACGCCGCCAATACGACCCGGTGCGGCATATCATCCGACGACAGCGAGACCACCCGCGGGAATACCGAACTATCCTCCTCCGAATCCATCTACGAGCACCTCACCAGCTGGCCCTTCTTCGGGGAATGGACCGATTTACGGCGTGATGCCTGGGATAGGATACCAAAAGCAGGATATTGCCGTGCATCAATCGAGGTTAAATCGGCTACGGAGGAGATCGTGCTACATTACGCTGGGGCTCATCGGCATTTTCATACTGGCCGTCTTCGTGGGCCTCATGATTGGATTTAGGGATAAGCTGGACGACAACAATGAGCCCAAGAAACCTCAGCAGCAGTCGAAAGTGCCGAATCCTACGGATAACAGCCTCGATGATGATTTCCCCTTGTGGCAGACGGGCTGGGATGACATTGAGATTATTGAAGGTGGAGAGGGAAGATGAAAATAGAGTCGAATGTCGATTTGTGTTGGACAGATCCATCCTACGTTCTTGAGAGGTTTCCGATATTGGGACACCGCCATGGGGCTGGTAACCGGTTAATATGGCGGGGAGCGGGCTATTCCCTTATTGCTGGGGACATCGATCGGGGGATTTATTCATTTGGACAGCGGCACTCGATATTGAACGGCAGGCACTATTTGGGGGTTGGATGGTGTCATGATATCTCAGCATGACTTGGGGATCCAAGCGTTCTTTGCCCTTTTTTTCCTCAGCGTGAGAATTCACCAGAGTTTTTGACTATGGATGGCATTCATTATCGCTAGGCCAACGTTCAACGAGGCGAGCTATGATCGTCCTTTGTTATCAGATTTTTCGGAGCTCTGAAGTTATTGTGGAACTTCCTCTCCCCTATTTCAGACCACCTCAGAACCGGCAGCCCGCGCCCCCCGCCACCTTACTGGCCCCTGACTTTGTTCTTGCAGCACTGTGACTGGGCCGAACTCTTGGATGAAGACGGTCGACCTTGGTCCTTTTTCTTTGGTCATATTTGCTTTATTTTTCCATATTTTGTTTCTATCACGGCCGGCAATCTGTTTCTTTCTTTGTTTTCCTTTGTTGTCAATACAGGGATACTGGGACTTGGGCAATTCGTTTCTCCTTTTTTCTCGGCGGTTTGGATCTATATGCTACGGCGTCGCTTCTTCTTTCCTATTGATCTCGTCATGCATTTTATCCCATGGTTTCATTTTTTTTCCTTTTCTCCTTATTTATGGTGGTTGTACGGGGGGGGGGATTTTGAAAGCTATCCGGTATACAAGAACTTAAGCATCTTCCTCTTGATTTAGAATCCCGTGGAAAATGGCGGAGGGAGGTACTAGTTTCCAAGGAAAGAAAAAGAGAAAAGCCCAAGAAGGGTGTTGAGAGAGATTCTGGTGCGAGGATGAGGAAGAATGCTTTTCAAGCGAGCTGAGGAGGATCGGTTCACCAAGGGGGGGAAGGATAAGGCTGGACGCCTTCTTTTTTTCTTCTTCTTTTTGTATCTAGTTTGAAGGGGGTATGGGATTTAGATGATGAGTGGGAATATCTGTACACGGGATGATAATAAAGTATTCGGGAAGAGTTCTATACCATGGTTCTTCGATTTGTATTCTATGACGTTTTGTCTCGAGGTTTTAGCACTTATCTTGCGCTCTCCTCCTACTTTTTATCGATACGGCCAGAGACTCTCACATTGTTTTTTTGCAAAGCCCCCCAAATTTTGTCTTCTGGCTGGAATCAACGCCGTCCCGTCAAATGAGACTCCCCAGTTCGTCGAAAGGCCGCCCCTTTCGACAGGCTTCTACTCTCATGTAACTGTTCATTTTCCCTTTTCTCTTCAAGATTACTCGTAAAGCGAGAGCGATTGCCTTTCATGATCCCTATCCGAAGTCAACCGAAACCTCGAAGGAAAATGGGGTTAACGGAAAGATCAATGTAATATCGACACATTTCAGAGAACAGAGGATGTGGGCAAGTCGCCCTCCCGTCAAGCATCACTTGTGGCAGCTTTTGTGTTCTGAGCTCTTGTAAACTTGGAGGGAGCAGCATAGATGTAGGATACTGATTCCTGGTCCTCCTTGTATCGTCTCATTCATTATACCGCCTAAAACAACCCTTAGCATCCTAAGACTTACCGAAGTGCACCTCCACCCAACAGAGCCAGTTGACTTGCCCCCAGAAAAGGGGGACCAAGGCAGTCTGTTGCACGTCCAAGTAAGAAAGGTACAAGGAATGCATGCCCAACTGGCTTTCATTCACATAATATAAACCTCTTCTTGAGAGTTTCTAAGGCCGACATTTCCAATCCCCTCCCAATCCCTTCCCCATATCTTGGCACCAGCCTCTTCCCGATCTTCTCATCCTCGCTTTGTATAACGTTCGTCGTGTACGTGTACCGTTTACCATGAGCACCAATGTTCCAAAATCCAGGCATGAAAAACTCCGGTCCCTAATTCTTCTTTGTGATCCCGATACCCAAAATATAAACGCCGTTCGCCGGGAACCAAAATTTTGTACAAGAGTGGTGGTGTGTACAGAAGTTAACACACACAAACAAAGGAAAAATAAAACGTGGTATCGCATCTAAAACTCCAAGAAACAAAGGCAGAGAAATGAGCGGCCGTGTACATAAAGTGGAAACATGACTTGAACGAGGCATCACGCCGAAGAGCTATTCGAGTGCGCACTTCTCATCAGTGTAAGCTTCTTCGATATCATCGGCGCAAATGGAGGGCTGGTGCCATCGCGAGGGCTCATCCACCTCCAAATAGATTGCACCGGTAGCTGCCGAACTTCTCCACCTAGCATCAGGGTTAGCGGGTCGTTCCCACTAGGCAACGGAATTGCCGGTCAATAGACTTGAGGGGAAAAGTTTACCTGTGAACGAGGAATGGGATTAGGGCAACGAAGCAGGCCGCGAGACCAGCAAGCATAATACACATGCTCCGTGGTATGACCTCCAGCCACACATCCTGTAACGGCGAGGGACTCCAGCTGGGTGCCTGGGAACTCGTGGCTTTCGACGGTTCGGCGGCGGCGATAGAAGCTCGCAGAGCGGGAACGGCCATGAGGAATGTGCTGGGCAGTGGGCTCTCGGCAGACAGAATCTCCTCTAGCTCCTCGGCAGTCAGGTTAGGGAGATCCGCCAGTTCATCGCTTTCGTTAAGAGTAGTAATGGGGTCAGGGCGCTCCTCGGGATAGTTGTCGGAGTACTTGATTACGATGCCCGATACGCGACGGGCAGCTGGGATGGGGCCGGAGAGCACTGCTGAGGTTGATGCGAGGACAAAGATGAGGGTAAGGAGCTTCGCTGTGGCTATCGTCATGTTGGCGCCTCCGAATATGTCTATTACTGGCGGATGAAAAAGATGTGGTTTTCTTGTATAAGCCGGGTAAAGCTGGTCGAATCCTGTTGCAACTCGGGACTCTATTCGCAGTTGGTAAACCGGAGCGGCAAGATGCGTTTATAATTTTGGCGAAATCGGCCCAATAATAAGAACGAAAGCTTATTTCAAGCAACGATGATGGTATGCAAGTGAGGAATGCGGGCAGATATCGTGGAGAGGTGCGGAGAATGGCGGTGGGGGGCAGAAATGCTCGAGAGAGCCGGAATCGGGAGTGAGTAGATCCAGTTTATGTTCTGTGTTTGAGGGTCTAACAGAACCGTGGCTTATACAGCGGAGGGGGATCGTGTCATAAAGGCTTCTAGTAGCAGATGATCAAGATAGAGATCTATGCAAAAGAAACTAGAAGAAAGGTGTGGGTGAGGGTATCGTCAAAAAGAGGAGAAAACAGGATCGTATGAACCAGAGGCCGACAGCACAATTATGCCTTTTGAATTTGTTCCGCTTTCACAGGGGAGGGGGTGGCCGGGAGTGTATTTCACGATGCTGTGCGGTTGGTGGTAGTACAAGTTGTAGGGTGGCTTGCAGTTTCTGTTGCCAAGTCCCTAAGCGTCCAAAAGGTAGGGGTGGGGAGGAAGGGGGGGTGTGAGGAAACAGGGCAACAGGGGTCAACGGATCAGTCTTCAGGTCGAACAGCACAGAGAAACGGAGGTAGGGGAGCCAACAAAGGTGCAGGGGTTGTCGGAGTGGAGGCACCGAAAACGAAGGGGAATCTCCGCCTCGAATTTGCAGCTAGCGAAGGGGGTCCAACGCAGGATCGATCTCTGTCACGCTGGAATATCTCGTATAAATCCTCGTTTTCTTTTCCTCGCTCTCCGCGGGCCCCGCAGATGATGGGGATATCGAGTTGTTTTGTGTTAGTTGACGCCTTTTATACAGGTAATAATAAATGGCGAAGGGCCGGATCAGACGAGACTCCAAAGGGTCCTCCTGCTAAGCTTTATGTCGTCTCTGTCAATTCACGCACCGACAACGGCCCCCAATAGCTTGTTCAATTTGGACGGTCCACCGGATGGAGAGTGTGTCGCGCGTTTTTTGTCGTCGATTTTACGCCCAAGATGGAATAGTACTTCGTAAGGGAAACTCCTGTTTCCGGAATCCTGGTTCACAACGGTGGCACATCTACCCCAGAAAGGTGCGACGGTGTGGGGGGAGAAGGGGCAAGCTGTCGGAGATGTTGAGCAGAAGAACTAACCCAACCGCCGGGCGCTGGGTCGTGGCGTCTCTAGAGACGACTATCGTGAAGGTCACCGAGTCTGCAAACGGAGTAGAGGCTGCAGAATATTGATGGCCTCAGAGTCCAGTGGAATGTCGGCAGTGCAGGGAGGTGAGAGACCTGACGTGTGTGATTGGGCAATGAGCGTCGAAAAGGGCAATTCAGTCCTAATTCGTTTGATGATACTTCGTACTTGCCAGCGCGAAGCAGTGGCTTGGGAGGCCGGGCTCGGGGATGAACACAGGAAAGGGAATAACGAGATGAAAACGATGCGGGTTTGAACAAGACGAGATATAAGCATATACCCCAGCGAAGAGGGCAAGAAGCAAAGAAAAAGTGTGTAGTTAATTTAATATACTAGCTTTGATGCCGGTACATGTCCAGACTTGCAGCGTGTGGTGGCCTAGCCAGCAACCTTGAGGAGATAAAGATCATTGTCGCGGCCTATAATAGCTTCGACCTAGATTCTACCAAGTAGGGTGCAGAGTTACAAGGTGACAAAAGTAATTATTAAATGCTCAGGTTGGTCCTGCCCTACGACATAGTATCCACTGTCCAACATAGAACCCCGAGCCGACTTCGTCGAACCTTCCGGCTCTACCTCGCAGACTATTCGTATTCCTTCGTACAACATCAAAACGACGACTGCTTCTGCGTGCGCCGAATCAATATCCTGCGAGCTACTCCGTACGATTAGTGCCACCGCACTCGAGATGTTCGCCGTGCTTCTTTCTTCATTTGGATTAGTGGGCCCGGTCGAGTTCAGCCGGACGGGTACCTGAAGGACGACCTGGATGGAGGTGTGGAAGGTGTGGACCGATAAGTAACGAAGTACAAGATATGGTTGTAATGGCATATCGAGATGGAAGGACCGCCCGAACTGAGAACTGACCGGGCCAATATTAGGCACAGGATCGAACATGTGGAGGGGCCAGAGGTAGCATTGAACCCTCCAGTACTAGTGATGTACACTGCCTATGAGTGGTAAGTTTAAATGGGCCGGGGTCCCTTTGTTCTTGGGTTAGAAGCACAGTTGAGGGTAATTAGAGCAAGGATTTCAATCCCTCAGGGCTGTGTGCAGGTGGAGTCGCGTGAGCAAGAAATAATAAGTCAAATCAGTTTCCCATGGTCCAGAAATGGGAATCTTTTTACGAAGTACGCAATACTTTGCGTGTTGCGTTGGTAACAAGGCAGATTGCCATCGAAAAAGAAAAAAGGTTCCGGAAGGCCGAGGTCTGGACTTCCTCTCCACTGGCTGCTTCGTACGATGGGCGCTAATATCTGACATCTGACAAACGAGGAAAGATGGGGGAAGCCACGAAGGGAAAGTGACCGCAAGCCCAGCCGTGAGTTTGCACCAACACGAGCTATTGGGAAATGAGTTTTCGGGGACGTGGAGCCTGACTTCACAGGTGCTATTAGGAGGCGGTTTAGGGTGTCGTAGTGGTGATCGCATTCTGCCATTGATCAATCAATAGCTCAAGTTGAGAGTTTAAGCTGGCTCGGACCAAGAAGCGAGCAAGAAACGACCACTCAGTCGTCCCACATGCTCACACACGAGCTCTGATTCGCAGGTTCTCTGACTCCACACTTCCCGCTCCAGTTGTTGGCGAAGAGTCACTGTCAGCATGGCAGACAGACAATGCGGACTCGAGCGGTGGATCATTGGTACTTTTTTCAAGTATTGATTGCTGAACACGAACTGAAGAAACAAAGTACGCCCGACATATCAAATGGTAATCCATGAAATGATATAAACTACGCATAACAATTAGGAAATTTGTGCCTTTTAAAAATTGCTTCTTCTCTTCTGGCATGCGATCCTTCCCGCTTTCCATCGAGGCTCAGTCCTATGCATTGTACAAGTAGACTTGCATCCTTATCCGAATGCCATGCGACTTGGTTTCTCAATGCTCCGACTCTGCCCAAATGTGGGGAAGGACCAGGGCTACATTTCCCATGTTACCTTGCATCAATATAGTGTAGTTTACACTAACATTGATCAATTGGTGCAAAACGAACCCCCGAAGATGTGCTCCCACCATCGAAGCATATCGCATGTGCCCGAGACGATTGGCTCAGCTCTGTGGGACTGGCTGGGTCCTTGAGCACCTAAGGCAGTGGCTGGCATGCTTGAATTTACCTTGTTGGGAGAAAAATCCGACCGAGGAAAGTTCCTCAACCACATCTCGCGTTCAGTTCAAGGCATTTCCCAGAGTCTTGATTCTTAGGGTCATGTCTAAAACGACTAGTATGCGCTATGGAACTGCCGACTCTAGGATGCTCATGGTTCAGGGTTTCTTCCCCTTTGGGTCGAGATCTTAAGAGGATATTGCTTCATCGGGGACGGTAAAGCCCCCATGAGCCCACGTGCCGAGAACTGCTGGACGAGTGGCCTGGACCAACTCTTGGTGTTAATACTCTTCTTCTTTTCGACCTCCCCACCGGAAAACCGTTGTTGCCCTAAATGCATGGGGATGCATCCCAACTCCCGCGGACCCCGAAGATGAATCAAGGTTGCTCTAGCTTCATATCGTGGTCTTGCGTCGATTGCCCGAAAACGTTGATATCTTTACCTTTGGGTCGGCCCTAGCCGGAGAAGCACCCTCGTGATGGAAGATCCTACACCTACGCCCCGACGCGGCTGTTTCTTTTTCGTGTTGAAATGTTCCTCCTGTCGGCTGTTTCTGCCCCCCAGATTCGATCTGCGGGCCACCGTCTTCTTTTTTTGTTGGTTCTAGACTGGTCGAAGCGTAGATCCGCAGTCCCATCTTTTGCTTCGAAGACTGCGCCCTGAAGCTGTGGCCATTCGCGGGTCCTTTTGCGCAAGGACTGCGACCCTGTTTAAGCATTTTGCTAGGAAGCCGGGCGTCGCGTTGCGCTTTGGCCAACTAAGCACCGCCGAAAAGTTTCCCTCTCGAATCACCATTGTTTCATGGATGAAGTCGGCACCCTCCGTTCCGTATCTGCAGGTCGAAGAGAGCAATTGAAACTGGATACATCACCTCGAAAACCGATTGGGCAAGCGTCCGTGTGATTTGTTTGAACGTTGTTTACTTTGTGCTATTGTTCGCAAGACCGGTTTCTCTTTTTGCTCGGATTTGGGAAGTTCGTTTCGTCTTTCGCTGACAGCCCAATCTTCCTGCTCGCGTGATGAGACTTCCTTCACGCCCCAAGCTTTCCAGCCTAGAGAAAACCTCCGGGGGCCTTTAAGTCTCCTCTACACCCGCTCGCTTCCTCCAAAAGGCCTATATGGAAGATAAGGCCTGCGAGCTTCTAGGGGTTGAAATAGATTGAGCAGATATCTGTTAGACCAACCCCCATTTCCCATAGCGATGTAGATTGGATTATCAGGAGCTGCATATGAGCGGCTCAGAAACTTGGCTTTACCACCCGAGAATTCATGGGACAATATATTCGCTTTATCGATCGCTACCAAGGCAATGGCAAGAAGTCCATGGCATCCAAAAATTAAAAGTGACTCAAGTAGTGGTTGACAGTGTTGATCACCACCTCCTCGCTTGAGTCGTCCCGTCATTAGTGTGCTTTCGTACGGCCGGTTCTGCAAAATGCAAACTAGGAACTAATATTAAAGATCCCACATACGCGGGAGCATTCATTGCCGAAATAACTTGATTTTGGAAGGCCCGGAATCAACTTGGAATATTCCTGAGCCACGAGCGCAGGCGCCGCTGTTGATTCGTTACTTGATAAGCTTTCTCCAATTCTAGGCGCTATCTCTCACGACCTACCCCCGCCAGTATTATGAAGTAAAATTGCCCTACAAAGGTATATCTAGAAGGAAAAAGAATAGAAGATGGCCCGGACCACGATGTCTCATCCGGCGAACAACAAACCCCGCAGTCGTTTGGCTGATATTCCTCTCGGAATCTTTTCCAGAAACAAGATGTTTTTTTTCTTGAACAATCCTTCCCCAGAAAGATCTTCGAACCCAAGAAGAAGGGGGGTTCGCCAAGTGATTCTTGGGTCAGACGCCAAGAGAGCTAAGCTCTGCTTCCTCGATTCCCTTTGGTGCGCCGGGAATGTCATCGTTCTGGGCACTGCACTGGGTCCCCCTGCGCCGAATGCTTATACCTTTGTCGCCAGGAAGATGATTGATTAGTATTATACCAAGGGGGGATCATTGATGCAAATTCTCCAGATCCCCCTCGCCCTCCTCCAACATGCGTGCATTGCAACATATAGGCTAAGATCATGCAACGACATGGTCCAATTGACCCCCCACGAAAAAGATCGTGAATTATGTAATCCCGAAAAATGTACAATGTCAAGTATCTTCTGCTCATGTAAGCGGATTGGACATTGGATTCTCCGTTGGAACAGAGCAAGTTTGAACTTTGGTTAACACTGTGTCAACGAACGACGCATCACGACTTCGTCATCGTCGAGACTAGATTTCTTGCCACGCACTCTTTAGCCATTGTCTTCTTCCCATCAAAAGCTAATTCCATCGCCATCTCCTCGAGACGCCTAACGGTAACGACTAACATGTGCGGGGGAAGATACGTCTAATTCTCATCCATTTCTTCGCCCAATCGCCCATACTCCACAGCCACTCTCCCCCCTAATTATAGCTTGTACGCCACATCTTGATGGCTGCAGGAACCACCTCACCTACCAACTTTATTCATTTCCCCAACGAATCTTCAACGCAACACGTATCGTCAAGACCAAACCTCTTGCTTTTCTCAACATCACGCGACCCTTTCTTGCGCCTGCGCCTGCGAAATTAGACGCTTCCATAATCCTAATGTCCTTATAACACCCGCCTCAAACAATCGAGATCTAACCCCCTATAAAAACCGAACGAACGAACCACCCCTTAGGCCGAAGCGCAAGGGAAGAAAAAAGAAAAATCCTCCCATGGCCCGATGGCCATCTCTCTGCCGACGCGCACGCAGATCGACTTCGATAGGCAGTTTCCTAACTCGATCTCCTCGCCGGCCCTAACTCGCTCGAGCACGGTACCGACGAATCTCGGCGGTCAGAGGACCGACCGATCGCATCTCGCGCCCGAAGATGCTTTCTACGCACACTCGCCCCCGCGGCGGATACCGCCGGCGGTAGCTTCCGCCGCTGGTGATGGCCCTTCCTTGCTGAGGCAGAGGAAGAGGAATGGAGGCGTGAATGGGTCGGGGACGGGAACTGGAACGGGAACGGGGACAGGGCATAGGTCGCGAAAGAGGAGGCGGAGCTGGAAGAAGCTTCTGTGGGTGGACAGAGTTTGTAGGCGAACCCTCATGCCCTTCACTGTTTTTGGTATTGTTTTTTTTTCCCAACGAGGGTCATGGCTGACTTTTCTTCTTCAGATCCCGACAACTATACAGACCAAGCGACATTCCTCGAACAACTCCAACGAAACCCCCGCCTCCAACCCTACGACTTTTGGCCCCTCGTAGCCGACACGACTATCATAGTGCAGCACGTCTGCTCCGTCATAATCTTCGTCGTCGCCTTCGTCGCCATTTTCCAAGAGCGCGTCACGCACATCTCCATCGTGACCTACAGCTCCGGCCTTACCTTTCTCGGCTGGCTCCTCTGGGAGCGCTGGGTCGCCGACGCGGAGGATCGAGAGGAGGAGCAGATCACGGCGGGGAACCCGCCTCCTACGACGACGTTGACGCGCGGGGGGAGTCGTCGGCGGACGGGCAGCATTCGCCGCAGGGCGACACTTCTTCAGGAGGCGAGGGCGATTCTTCCCACGGGTCTGGGCATCACGACTACTTCGTCGACGACGACTACAACGACGACGACGACGACAAAGGAGAATCTCAATGCCGTATCAAACCGTCTTCAAGAGTCTTCTACATCCGCGCACCGCCACCATAACCACCATCCCCCTAGGATATCCGCAAACGGCAACGGCGCATCTTCTTCCACAGTCACCTCTTCCTCCTCGACCTCTCACCTCGCCGATTCGTCAACCACCACCACCCGCCCCAGCTCTATCCCAACCCCGCGGAACAACACCAGTAACACCACCAGCAGAGGCACCGCAACCACCACAATCCCCGAAACCCTCCCCCCAATCCCGCAACCCAACCGCACCCACGAACGCCTCGCAACCATAAAATCCGCCCTCCTCATCTCCTCCATCCTCCTCGGCCTCTCCCCGATCCTCAAATCCCTCACCCGCTCCACCTCCTCCGACTCCATCTGGGCCATGTGCTTCTTCCTCCTCACCATCAACATCCTCTTCTTCGACTACTCCGGCGACGTCTCCGGCGCCAACTTCCCCGCTTCCTTATCCACCAACGCGGCCCTCATGGCTTCCACTATGCTTGCTTCCCGCCTCCCCTCCACGGGGCAGGTCTTTTCGCTCACGGTGCTCTCTATCGAGGTTTTTGGGCTGTTTCCCGTTTTTCGGAGATATGCGCGCCATAGACCCTGGCGGTATCACGTTCTCCTGACGACGATACTCGTCCTCCTCTCCGGCGCGGGCGTCGGCCTCGTGCTCGGCGACGTCAACGCCGCGGCCTCGAGGACCGCGAGGAATTGTCTTTTGGGCATGTTAATGGGCGCTGTTGTTGCTGCTTTGGCCATGGGCGGGTGTAGTTGGTGGTTGATTGGGTTACAGAAGTATAAGAATGAGATTAATGGGCCTTGGGATGCGGCGAGGCCGGTTATTATTAGCAGGAGGTATTACTGAGTACTTTCTTTCCTTCTTACGGTTTTTTTTTTTCGTTTCGCTTAATAGATTGATGTTGCTTTTTGATTTTTGAGGTTGGTCGGTTCGGACCCTGCAGTGATATAAGGTCGTGAGATGGACGGATGGTGAGCAAACAACACGAGGCTTCGAGATTCCTACAAACGTTTCGGGCGAGATTCTCTCACTAGCAAATGTCACCTCTAGAAGTATGCCCCATGGATCACTCCCTACGCCCACGGCAGGGGCTCTTGACAGAACGGCATAGACATCGCGAGTCCATCCCAGATTTTATCAATCAAAGCCTCGTGTTCGAAACCGTGGCATTGTACATAAAACGCTGAAAAGAAGGGGAGAAGAAAGATACAGGAATCAACCTAAAAATAGAATAGAAATACGCAACGCCTGCTTTGCCATCTACATCCATCCATGTGATCAAAATTCCAAAACCCCACAGGTGAAATCCAGACGGAGCTCGATACAACCGACACCAAGGGGTCCGGGCCATGACAAGAAGAACATGAAACTGAGAAGGCGCGAGATAGCTGCAGGAAGAAGTCCTCAATTCTTCCCGTAGTGGTCCAAGAACAGCGGTGAAAAACAAATATAAGAGGAACAAGAAACAGAAAAAAAAAAGCCATCGATAGTGCTGCCTTGGACGTTGCGCATGGAGATGAGAAAGTATGCAGTGGTGCTATGTGTTGTCTTTTCGTGTAACATAATGTAAACCCAAACTCTTCGAGACTCATGTCGTGTCATTCCCATGAGTGGAAGATGCAAATCGAAGAAAAAAAGAAAAGGAAAGAGGAAAAAGGTCCAACGGAAACGTCATGTCGATACGGCATAGCTCATTCATGCGGATTTTCTTTTGCTCGTAATTCAGGTGGTGAGTGTCCCCGTAAGCGGATGAGTCGTGAGTCCAGCCAGGGGGTTGCTCGATAACCTCAAAGAATGATGCAACGAGGTGCGCCGTCCTTCTTCTTCCTCTTCTTCCGGCGCCTGCTGATTCTGTGGACGGCGTCGAACTTGTCGTCACGGTCGTCAAGCATGTCGTCGGATAGATCATCTTTCCGTAGCATCTGACGGCAGAGGTCGATGAAAACTTCGTTTACGTTTCCTGGGGCTCAAAGTCAGCAAAGGTAAGTGATTTAAAAGTGTGTTTAACATACGTCTCGTTCGAGCACTAGCTTCATAGTACGGCGCACCCCACTGCTGCGAAATGCTAAATGCCCTAGCTCTAGGGACAGCCCGCTGATCTTCCAGATCAGCCTTGTTTCCGACAATGACGATAGGAACATTTTCATCGTCCTTTATTCGGATAATCTCCTCTCGGAGCTGGGCCAACTCGCCCAAAGATGAGTTCGAGGTAATGCTAAACACAAGTAGGAATCCCTGCCCTGTCTTCATGTACAGGTCCCTCATGGCCACTGTGGACAAAGTCAGTTTGTGGCTTTATAAGGAGGGAGAGAATTAAATCCTACCGAACTGCTCCGTTCCCGCCGTATCGAGACTACGCCTAGTTAGCTAGAGAACTTTGAAAAGAAGAAGGCAATACGACGGGAGTGGCCTGGCTCCGTAGGGGGAAGTCGAGCTCACATTTCCAAGACCACTTGTCGATTCTACACGGCAGATTAGCTTCATCCCATCTAACATACTCCGCCAGAGGTTGTGTCTAATTGAGGAACAAACGACTTACATCGACATTGATATGTGTCCTATACGTGTCCTCGATGGTCGGGTCATAACTCTCAATCCACTCATTGTGGACGAACTGGGCTATTTCAAGCAACTTGTCAGAATCTAAGGCCAACAATCGTTCTCTAATCAAAGCTAGAGGCCGCGACGCCCCTGATCGGAGGCGAGAGACGTGGGGGGGAAGCCAAAATAAGGCCATACCTGTGAGACATGACTTGCCAACACCCCCTATTCGCACAAGAGAGAGAGGCGAAATCAGTGACTTGCCCACGTGATCTCACTTATGGGCTAAGAAACCCAGAGGTGCAAAGCGGGAATGCTTACCAGCGCCGAGGACGACGATATGCAACTCACGGCTTCAAGCGCGGTTTCAGTCAGTTCAAAGACTCAATTTCGAGAGAGATTTGCCAACTTGTGGTTGCGATGCCGCATCAGAACTTGGATGGATATGACTTACCAGGGTTGAAACCGACCAGCGCGGAGCTGTGACCGACTCATTGCGCCGTCAGTAGTTGCGGAGAGCCGAGCCCAAACTAGGCCCGGATCTCACGTCGACTTGTTGAAATTTCAGTCTCCTGAAAAGAGGGGGGAGAGAAAAAAAATTTAAAAGAAAAAAGAGCCAATGGTCCGTTCTTCTTCCACTCTCGCACTTTTTCTTCTTCGGCTCTTCAAGAGTCAAGCAAACAGCCCTCCGGCTTGAACAAAGCTTCGGGGGTCGAGGTTGGCAGTATTAAACGTAGCGCCTCCGACTTTTTGTGTCGTACCAGTAGCAAACAAGGTCTCGATAGAAAATGAACAGATGAGCGAAGAGAGCGCGGCGAGGCCTTTAATGAAAATTCCTCATCCACAACAGATACCGGCAGAGCTGGGTAGAGTAGGGCTCGACTTTCAAGTAGCAATGAATAGGAGGCTTGTTGGGGGCGGCGGCATCGGGTAGCGGAATATTGCTACTGAAAGAAAACGGCGAGATTCTGCAGGTTGGCCCCCTCTTTCGTCAGGCTAAGGTGTATTATGTCGGGGGTATGTGCAGAAGAAGCTAATTGAGTAGCGTAAACGAAGCCACTAAACGATGTTGCTTAAATGGAGGGACTGGCTTCTCAGAATATAGACAATCTTCCCTGTTTAGGAAGCAGGAAAAGAGACAGAAAAAAAAATAAATAAAAGGCTCGCCCCTCTTCTCACAGAAAGTGCACACCGTTCCCTTTAAAGGAAGGACTGATTAACCAGGGGTCGACTGAGTTGCCACGCTAGAAGGAAAAGAATCTAAGGAGAGAAAAGAAGGGAAGAGCCAGGGCGTCAAGCTATTCCACTTCTTGGGTGTACCTGATAGCCAAAGCCAGAGACCGAAGGGAGAAGTAAGAGGGAAAAAAATTGACGCTGTAACTTTATAGGAAGCTGGTTCCAACAAGGGAAGCAGACAGGGGTTCCGAAGGCATCCAAAAAGAAAGGGCAAAAAAAATGCGAATAACTCCGGTAAGAAGAAGAGAAAAAAAACCAACAAGGATTGGCAAGACGTGGTTGGGTAGGATTCTCCTGCAATCCTGGAATTCTCAGGGTAGGTTGGGCCGGATCTCTGGCGGGGATGTTTCCCGTCGGTCAGGTCCTGCGGGTGGAGTCTGGATTCTGGATTCTGGATGATGCCCCTGAAGGGAGACAGATCTGGGACTCCCTTCTCGTAGGCTGGAACCCCTTTGACTTCGTACCAGGTTACTGGTTAGTGTTAATCGAACGGGATTTAGCGCCAGATATGGGAGAACCAGACGGGCGGGCAAGAAGTGTCAACTGGGCGAGATAGGATAATGTTTAATCCCAGACCGATGGCTAGAATCAGCGAAGCGGGGTTCAGAGTCAGGGTCAACGGAAACCAAAAGAACCACGATGGCGAAAGAGGTTGGATGGACCTCCAATCTGGTATTTCGGAAAGACATCAACTGGGAAGGGCAAGAAAAAAAAGATTGGAAAAAATTTAGAGTAAAAGCAAGAAAAGAGGCGGAGCGCAGGCTCAAGCCAATGGCAGAAGAACGAGTACACGGAACATGAAAATGTCTTCTCACGAGTCGGAGGACGCGTATGCGCTCCCTGCAAAGGGAGGAAGCTATTGGAGCAGCGCGTGAATATTATGTGCGAGACAAAGGCAAGGCCGAAAGGGGTTGAGATGTGCGTATGTGGAGGCCTTGTTCCATCGATGGAACGTTCGAAGGGATTTCGGGAAGTTGGGGCGAAAGAGGATCAACTCGAATGTGGGAACCAAGCATCAATTGATCAATTGGACAAAGTGCACATTGAACCTTGCAACCTTGCAGTGCAGGCATCAAGCTCGTGAATGTGAATGGGTGACCTGTCCTAGCTCCATGGCGGATAGCGCCTAGCGCTTCCAGCCAAGATGTCTGTCTGGCTGGCGAGTTTCCGATGCAGCAAGCAGGTCCTCAGTCCTCTCACTTTGTGGATACCTCAAGGTGGCCAACCTCGAGTGCAGAATGCCCGAGCACAGCTCTGTGCTCCGAAATCAGACCTCTCCGGAGCCCCGTTCGGCAGACAGCGGACCTATCAAAGGGCGGGATCAACGATGCCCACCGCAGCAGCTCGAAGGTGAGTGGAAGGTGGAGATCCACAGAGTTTCCGGAACCACTTGGAGGTCGTACAGCAGTTGTCAAAACTCATCCCCAGCAGCACGCAGCTCTGAGTTGGTCAAGACCGAGGGGCGGGTCTAAAAATAAGAATTGGTAGAAAAGAAAAGAAGGAGAGACAAAATGAGGAAAAGAAATGAGGGGGAAAGGCAAGCCCGAACCTCTCAAGCGCGAGGATAATAGTTTAGACGGTTCATCAATGTGATATGTGATATATTATACAGCAGCCACAAAGAAGCTAGCAGCCTCTCTCAAAAGAGAGGAATTTCTCTCCCTCGGCTCAGGGACCACCGCCTGGAAATGTTTCATCGGCCAGCGCATTAGGTCGAGCTCAGTGGCGAACATCTGGCGAGGTCAAAGAGCAGCAAGCTGGAAACTGGAGTCATGATGGAGATCAATTGCTTATTCAGGCTCAGGCACAGACACAGCCTCACAGGCACAGGCACAGGCACAGGCTCAGGTACAGGCTCAGGTACAGGCAACAACTCCTTCCTGGACTTCCTTCAATCACAAGCGCGACAGCGACACGGTAGTTTTGGTCTGAAGGGGCAAGCGCGGAGCGGGACCACTGCAGCGAACGAAAGTAAGATTACGGAGTACAAGACATGAAATTGATCAATGAGAGCTTGACATGTGCTCTCAACTTGAGAGCTCTTGGTACTTGTACTGGTAACCTCACTACCGTGGTGTCGCCTCGCAGCAGCTACGTATCAGCTACCTCGGCACCACTGCAACTTCCACGGCTGTGAATTTCATCTGTGTATCGTGGTCGCTAGCACTTACCCATCTCAGAGGAGTCGAAGACAACATGGGCTGACGGGGATTGCAGGAACCCCTAGTCTAGCCTCTATGAGAACACGTTACTTGCAGGTGGTCCTGTCCGGTCTCACCATCGTGTTAGTGGATTCTTCCAAGCCAACCACTTCATTCCATCCTTAGTGTCCAGAGGATCCTGAGCGACGCGGAGCTGACAACGCGAAAATTCAGGAAGTAATTGATCTGTCACCGACGACCTCCACCTTCCCTCTGGCCAGAAAGGAAGGCAGAACCCAACATTGAATGTTCCATTTTCCCTCAGAAGCACATCGCACGAAGAAAGACTCCAAGTACTTCGTACATTTACCATTGGCGAATCCAGCGATGCACACAATACGAAGTCGATTTCAAGGGACTCGGAAGGATGTGGGTCAATCTTAGCACGCTCACCTAAGCGTTGCATCGCATCGAGCCCCCGATCATCTACACCAATCGACGTGAGCAAAAGCAGTTCAAACCACTCGTTTTTCATCACCCCAACTCATCACCAACAGCCAACTTGCGTCCATGCGGGATGGGGATGAGATGCAGATAATCAACGGGGGAAGTTCCCGGCAACCGATAATGGACGAGTTGATAAACCGGTGAACCCAACCACACCAATGGAGCGGATCTCTGCCCCTCCATCATCAATTTGCTGATGTCTTTTTTTTTCCATTTTTTAAATTCGTGCGCGCCTAGACTGTCATCATTGATCTCTCTTTTCTCGACTACACTAAACCGAGTCCTTCGGCACAACAGCCCCTTCCTTCCGGGCAAGCTCATCTGAGCGACGGAAACCGAGTCCACAAAGAGGACAAACATCAACCTATTTTTTAAGCCAAGAGCGGGGAATTCCCATTTCTCGGGCTCACATACCCACTCTAGCCGCAGAAAACGTTCAAGTGTGGAGGGAGGGGGTTTTACAAGAATTGCTCTGGAGGGCCCAGGTCGGCCTGGCCTGGCCATGCCCAGACCAACCAACCAATTGATATGTAGTTCGTGTGCCCACCACCTGCCGGGCAGTGTGCTATTAATCCTAGCGCCTTCGATGTTTCGTTTCTGCAGTTCCTCAAGCATCAAAGGCCCGTTTTCTTCAATATTTCGAAATATTGATCCACTTCCTCCCCTTTTTGATGTTTCTGACACTGAGCAAGGAGCGGGAGCATCAGTAATACTACATTATCTTTTTTCGAACGTCTGCTTCATAGTGAAAAGACAAAGGGGGCTATTACCTCACAGTCAAGGACGGACTCATGCAACAGAAAAGATCCCTTCGTTCCTGCGTTGGCACAGCCGCGCCCGTAGGAAGCAAGAACCTCTTACCGAGCCCTTCCCCCTCCCCCACAGAAGTCGAGGCAAAATAGCTCGGATATCGTCATTTTCCCGAGTCCTCACATATTTCGTACTTCGGATGCACTTAAAATCTCTCGCATCCCTGGCAAGGGTTTGGAACAAGCCCGCCCTCTTCTGAGACCCCGATCTTATCGGTGAAATCCGAAAGAAGGAGAAGAAAAAAAAATTTTTCTGGAAGCAGGAAACACGGGAACACAGGTACTGCTTCGTCCCTTTTCTCTCGTTTTTATCATACCGTCTCTCCGGTCGTCGTGTAAAGTGTTCCTATCCTCGAAAAGAGAGAAAATAAATAAAGCAAATGAATAAAATGAATAAACCAAAGTAAGATTCAAAAAGTTAGGGCTTCCTGCACTTGAACGAAAAGAGAAACTCAGTAGTATGCACTCAATGGCATGCTGCCCACTTAGGGTATAAATCTCATCCTACAACGGACTCTTTCGTTCGTTGCATCAACCGTATCCATGAATCTGCATCAAGGGCCCCGGTTACCCGCTTGAAGGACCAGGCATGTGAACCGCTATCCTCGAATTACCAACGACATTGCAAGGTGAGGAGGGATTTTCCCAAGGGCTTGAAGAATATCATGCACCGCTATTAGTTGGAAGCCTGTGAGCGTTGCATGACTCTCTCGGATCTCGGTCTCGGTCAAACCATCCCTCCCTCGCTCGATATTCGAACTATTTTTGCTCGTAGACATCCCGTTATCCGTCTGACCGCCAT